AACAGGAAAAGATAACTCTATTCATATTCTGTGCTTCTCTTGAAGAATTTAGCAACCAATCCTGGAACAAAGTTTCTTCCTCACTGAAGCTTAAGGCAAGCATTTTGTTCAGTGTCTCCCTGCCAGTGCAGGGACATTTGCCAAGCTGTTAACAGCTCGAGACATCGCACACATGTGGGAAGGGCATTAATTCAGCTCCGTGACAAACATCTTTTTTCCTTGGAACACTTCTCTGTATGGGCAGTCACTTTCAGGGAGATTGCAAGGGTGGGCATCTGTTCAAAATGCTGACCCAGCCATTTGGGCAATTGTCCAAAAGCAACTCATCTTCCATTTTTGGCTAAGATCATCCCAAAGGTTCTCTCGGATACTTCCAATTCCTATATGGATGCAAAAAAAATATGTTTAGTATGAAAAAAAATTAAATGACACATGCAATCAACACTGGCGATGTACTCCAGATCCCAGTTAAACCAAAGAATCAAAGGCCTTGTGTACATCAACAGAAATAGTGGCACACCTGCCTTATAAACTGGCATGGTTGAACAGTCAATGCTAATCCTCAAAGGAACTTTAGCGCTTGAAGATCTTTTTCTTTTTATGGAGTTCTGGGGCCACTCCATGCTACTAACCATGATTGCTATGCTGTGCCTCCACACTTGGAAGGAGTAATGCTTCTGAAAACTAGCTGCTGGAAACCTCAGGAGGGGACAGTGCTCTTGTGTTCAGGTCCTGCTTGCAGGCTTTCCAGAGGCATCTGGTTGGCCACTATGAGAACAGGATGATGGACTATGTGGACCATTGGCCAGATCTAGCAGGGCTTTTCTCACCTTCCCATGGCTCCCCCTCCCCTCCAGAGGTGTACACGTGTGTGTGTGTGTGTGTGTGTGTGTGTGTGTTGGAGGGTGTCAACTGTGAAGAGGCCATACCTGTATAATAGGGAACGGTAGTTCTTTGGCCAGACTATGGATCTTTAACAACTTCACTCAGCTGCAATCTGCAGAATATTGTAGAGGAAAGCGAAAGCAGTTAAATTGGTTTAAAAAAGTAAATTGCATTAGATTGCAGACATCCCTTCCATCATCTTCAACTCAAGTACTTTTCCTTAACTGGGTTGCAACTCAGGCGGCTGCCCTCAAGCCAATTAATGACAATCAGTCATATTTCATTGTTTAAAACCAGAGGTTATGACACTTGGAGTCAGTGTGACAACAGAACGCTAATGGACCATTTTAACCAAAAACATCACTCATCCACCCTGCAGGACTGTTGCTGCCGCAAGATACAATTACATATTATATGGATGATAAATGACCAATTTCCATTCACTTTATTAAGTGGGGCCTTCTACCATCAAATTTGCGTCACGTCCTGACCATGCCAGTTTCAGGAAGTGTCAGTTGGTAGGCAGACGTATCGTCACTCAAGTCAATCAATTTGATTTCCTTTTGATGCAGGAGAATTCAGGCCTTAAAACTGGATATCTTCCAACAATTTATAAGCTTGCCTACTCAACAACATTAAAGTCTCACATCGAACATAACCAATCTATAGAAAGCATTTTATGATAATGGAAGTAGGAACAATGTTTGTAGTATTGTAACCTAAGAAAATCCTTAATAATTGGTGTGGGTTTTTTTAAAGCATGCCTACTCCTCACATTTAAGTCTGTGCTTAACAGTAGTGGATGCTATCAGGGATGTCTGGGGGGTGGGAAATTTTGTAAGTGTATGAAAAACTGTTTATTTAGGATCCCTAGACTAAATTTCCAAGGTTCTTTGAGTGGAAGCTGTGGAAGCTAAACCAGTTTATATTGATGATAAATATATGGCCTTAGAGTGCATGAGGCTCTGTCTGCAGTTTCACAAATCTACGTTTCCCAACTTTGTCCCCTTCAACAGACTAGAAAGTTGGGAAAGAAGTACCCATTTAAATATAAATCAACTAGCATGGTACCAAGTGAGGTTATATTGTTCTAGCTTGCACTTTTAGAGGGTAGGCAAAAATGGGCTGATGACTCTAATTTTGCAATTATCAAGTTACATAAACATCAAAATATTGCCTTTGGCTTTAGAACCACTTTTTAGCATCATTTACAGCACACCTATGAATGATTACCTAGTCATATGTTCCATTGATCTCAAAGGGGCTTACTGCCTTGTAAGTTTGTTTAGGATTACAGCTTTAATCAACACTCCTGCATTTGTAAATTTTGGTTTACTGTTCTGGGAAGGGCTCTCATCCTGAACATGAGATTACTGTGAGTTCAAGTGGGCAGACTTACTAAGGGACAAACATCAGCTGGAGAGGGGAGGCACCAGTTGTTGAGAAAGAGGAATGTATACGTCTGAGGTCTCTGAATATTCTACCTTGCAACGGCACTGGAGCTGCCAGTAGAGAAGAGTTTCTATTATACGCCTGTCATTTCAGTAGACAGCAATGCCTCAGCAATAAGATAAAACCTGTCAACACACCAAAACTGCTTTGATCAGGAACAGAAGATGTCAAGTGCGTAACAGAAAAGATTCTGTCTCCCCCCAAAGATGTCAGCAGTTAGCTTGGCTCTGCGCTGAAAAATAGAAGGGGAATGAAAGATAGAAAAGGTAAAACATGGGAGGAGGGCCAATATGAGAGAAAGAAGGAAAGAAAAATGTAAGTGGGAAGTTGTAGAGTTTTTTGTGTGTGTTTTGATGTTTCACAGACATTAAAGTTTATTGTCAAGGTCAGCGTTTCTGTTTCACGTCATATTGAGAAAGGTGGTGCATATATTGCGTTTCTGCATGCTCAAGTGATGCAAGGGACTTATATCAGGAATGGCAGTTTGTGAAACTAGTAAGTTTCAAATCAAGGTTGATCAAAACTCCCTTGTCTGTCTCATGAGAGCAGTGGAGGGAATGCCAGTTTCCCCCCGTGACACAGAATCACATTCAGATGTGTCACATTTACATTTGTTTTTTAAAATAATTTTTATTAAAGATTTTCCTCGTTTACAAAAGCACATTCATTGTCTCTTTCTTCAGGTTGTGTTTTCTACAGATCAGTTACATTTGTTGTAAGACATTGGTGTTAATTGCAGTATAGGATTGGGGAAAAGGAAGAGGGACAGGAGAGAGGGGGTGGTAAAGCTTATGTTCTTTTACTTAGTGCATGTGTGGGACTTTGTGTCAGCATCACTTGAGTAGGTTCTCTTTCTATTTGCTTGTTATGTTTCCTTGGTGGTGAGAGAGATTGGGGTGGCCTAGGGTGTGGTTGATTTGTTTGTGGGGGGTTGTTTGGTTAAGTTAGACATATTGAATTGTATCCAAGAGTTCTATGGCTCCTTAAAAATAGACACATTTATTGTGGTGTAATAAGACTTCATGGACTAAGCCAATACTGCCAGAGGTCTAAAAGTAGGCTCCACTTACATGTGACATTTTGGCTTAGGTCTGGTGAATTACCTCTAGTTAGTATTTAGAGGATGATTTCAACTATCTAAATACAGCAGTTAGCAAAGCCACAGCGGATGCAATTATTTACAGTTGTGTTTGGGAGATCTTAGAAAACTGGATTTATATTAAGTGTCCTAAAAAATGTTCATTTTTCTTCTTCTTTTATGTTATTAAAATACATAATCAAGAATAAAACAAAACCATCACAGAAAACAGCTATGAAATATTGAAGCAGAATCAAAAAGGAGGCCAAAGACATCAGTAATACATTCCAGTCTTTCAATACATTCCAGAAATTATAACAAGTCTATAAACACCATTAATATGGATATCCCTTATGCTAATTCCATCTTCTGTCCTCTTCCACAGCATTCCTCACAACGAGAATCAGCCGTCACTTTCAGCTACTCTGACCTTCCCTCAACTTAGTGCCCTCCAGATATTTTGGACTACAACTCCCATCTGCTTCAGCCAACATGGCAAATGGTCAGGGATGATGGGAATTGTACTCCAAAATTATCTGGAGGTTACCAGGTTGGACAAGGCTGAGTAGATGGCTCTCAAAGGCAACTGGACTTGCCCTCCATGGATCTGCCTATCAATGGCCCCTTGAATTGCCAGCCGCAGATTAGCACAAGTGGGAGAAGACTCCTGCTTGTAGGATTTCTATATACATCTGTTTCACCACTGTGTGAGGCATGATGCTGGGCTAGATCAGTGTTTGATCTGATTGAGCATGCCTCTTCTTATGTTCCCACCACACCAGAACCCATTCTCAGTATGGAGGGAAGCAAGAACCTGAAGGAATGATTGAAGAGTGCAGAAGCCAACTCCTAGGGGCCAAGGTACCTTTGGCCCTCCCAGTAACATATTTGAGGTGACGGAGGGGGGAGTTGATGGGCATTGCCATTCAAATGGTGTGTGCACACTGTGTCTTGTGATCGATTATGCAGGGTGGGGCTTACGTGCGGGGGCCCCCCATATTTTATTCAGGGTGAAATTAAATAAAGAAAATTAAAGAACATTGCTAGGAGATAAAAACGGGGTAAGAAGAGAGCATGGAGGTGCCAATATGAACTTGCGTCCTTTGGACTGCTTGGCCACTGGTAAACTGACAATGTGTCACCTCACATACTAAGGGAAGGGTTATTATATTTGACTGGATGCAACTCCTGAAGACAACCTCTCATTTAAGTTTAGCCTCTCCACTTTAGCTGTCTCAATCTGTCATCTGGTAACATTTTGTTTCATGTCCAATGTTAAAAATCAGCCATTCACTAAGCTGCCACAGTGCCTAAGAGCTGACATGTCAAACATTGTGTAACTGGCAATTAACATGTCCTATTTACTTTGTTGAGGGAAATGTGTTGGAAGAAATGTTTCCCCAAGAGAATAGCTTAGTGGGAGAAGTGTGGGTTGCTACTGTGTGGTGTTGGGGCACTCAAATTGGGCAAGCTGTTGCCAGAATACAGATATAAAATGCTGACCTCGTTCTCTTAACGCACCTTTTGGGAAGCAACTAACTTCCATATTCAAATGGTTCATATACAATGTTTTCTTTGCTTGCAGGCTGAAGGATCTTATGAGAAAATAAGAGTGAATTTGCTTAACTATAAAGAAGCATGCTTGAAAATGTTGCACGAGTCTGCGATCAGCCCAGGTAAGAAAGCAACCTTCACCATCATCAACGCACAAATAATAGTTTGCAAAGCTTGTAGAAATGTGTTGTATCCAAATCAGCAGTACATGAGCCTAACGCCACTGCAAAGATTTCTGCTTGTGCAGTGGAGCATTCACCCTCCCTCTTTCCCTGCAATCTGTTCTAGGGGCTCCCTCAACCCTGTGGAGCAGATTTGGGGAAGGTGCATGGGGGAGGGGAGAAATGAAAGTCCCATTTGCAAGTGGAAATCCTTGCATTGGTGGGATGTGTTAGCTGAATACTGCCCAGTGATAACTAAAAGATCATGAGTAGTAGGGCTTCTCACCAAAATGGATGCAAGTATAAAGAGCAAGAAATGGTGGAAATACTGTAGCAGGATAGGGAGAAGAATGGGATGTATTTTATTGAATATGCTAAAACGGCATACTGCGGGATCAGAACAGCTTTTGGATCCTTTGGTGTCAAGTCACTTTCTCAGTCTCCCTCCACACCCCTGAACCACCCCTGAAAGGCCCCCATTTGGCCTCTGTCATCAGTTGGGTCAGGGCAATGAATGCTTCATTGGCAGTGGGGATGGGAATATTGGATATCCTTCTCAGGGCCTAAGGATTAAACCCTTGGTATCCTCAGTCTCTCAGAGGGAGAGGGATTTGTTATGACATGTTCTTGTTTGTTTGACAGTCAACAGTATTGTCAAAGCTGGTGCAGTGCAGACTGGGAATGTGAGCTGGAACAGAAGCAGTTCAAATATAATCTCAAACAAGAACTTGCATAGACAAGCCACTGTTCCTTCAGCCTCAGTCTTTCATTTTTAATATGGTTGTGATAATAGTACTTTTCTACTACTACCTTAAGGTGGCTGTTTACTGATATAATTTATGCAAATATCTGTTTGTTGTTGTTAATATTTACTGAACCTCCTTGGGAACATCTTGTTTCATTTTCTGTCAGTCATCTTAATTCATTTCCTGCTGACATTTGGTATGAGGATGTGATCTGGCCAAGATAATAATATTTATGTGTTGTCATAAAAATTACTGAGGTATTCTGTATGAATGCTATCATCATTATTTTGTTGATTATTCATTTCTAATCCTTTCAACTAACCATTTGGCCTCTTGGGAACATCTTGTTATATTTGTTCTCACTCACCTACATTCATTTCCTGTTGATATGTGTGGTCATGATGTGGTCAAAATGATAATCAGCCAGCTTCGTGCTTGTTTTGGTTGCTCGCTTCAGTAATTTTGATGCCTTGGTTCCATTCATGCCCCCATCCCCAAAGTTTGATTGATAAATGTTCTTGAGAACTTTGCTTGAAATCTAAATCACCATCTATATCTAGCTGAAATGCTTATCTAAGTAGCACAAGCAGCAGCTTAGCACAAGGGTGGCTGCTGGCTTGCTTCACTGTAAGTCTTACGTTTAGTGCTCAAAGTGGCAGAAAAAGGAACATAAGAGGGTTTCATTTCAAGTTTGGTCAGATTCTGTTATGTCTGTTGCAAAGAAGTGGAACTGCATCCCCTCCTGCTTTTGAGCCCTGCTTATGATCAAGCTGTAAACTTCATTTAGAGGTATTAATTTAAATGCTACAAGATGTGCAGAGTTATGTATCTTAGGTGCAACATCAATACGGCTTGGTTTGAACACACTGCATTCCTTGGTGATCAGCTGCCTGCATCCTTTAGTGAATGTTAAAAGACTCTCCCTCTCTCTCAGGAATATACTGCAATGGGAGTTTTGATGAATTTGTTTGCTGGCCTCATTCACCTCCAGGAATAGTCTCGGTTCCCTGCCCACATTATTTACCATGGATAGAAAATGGTAAGGCAAGACTTGGAAATATATGCACATTGCAAAGCTGTAATATATATGAGAACATTTCTCTTTCCTTCTAGAGTTCTGTACTGGGTACCTTGCCGTGCAAAGAAACTGCTAACTGAGACTCTTCAACACTGATGGCGTAGGGTAGCTTCTTAAAGAAATAATTGAATCAAATCTCTCCTGACACATACTCAGAAATCCAATTCTGCCGCACTCCATACATGGTATGATGTATGGATTATGATGTACAGCCAAGGTAGAAACATGATTTCGTCAGCAGACTCCTACAGTAGTAAGGAGGAGACAATATGGGGAAGCAAGGAAGCAAGCTTTAAATGAGCCAATGAGATCACTCAAGAATGAAAGAGGGAAGGTGGCCAGATTCACTTAATCCTCCTTTGGAATCTGCAGTCCTGAATTGGTTAATTATACAATATCAATGACTGCTTCTCAACCCCAAGCACAAATAATCGAAAGCATGTAAGATGGAATTAAGTGAAATACAATCTTATCCCTTGGGTTTAAGCACTGACAGGGGCTTTAGAAACAAGGAATTAGGAGAATTTGACAGTGTTAATCCATTGATAAATATTAAGCTTTCTACAGTTACCTCCCAAATAAACAGACATTACAAAGAGCCACATACATCCAGCCAAGTCTCCATTTTCAGGGGTCTCTAGGCAAGTGATGAAAGGATGACGGCACTAAACCATGTCTGAAAAATGAAATGTGTGGCTTGACCTTTGAGCTTGCGTCTGTTTACATTTAGGAAGTGCAAGAAACGTATACAGAATCTGCTTGGACCAAGGGATTTGGAAAAAAGTTGAAAACTCCACTGTGGTCTGGGATAACCGCACTGAATGTTCTGGGGAAAGCCACTACCAGAGAAAAGTGAGTAGAGATGCCTTTTTATGGTTTAATACAGTAACCTGCTTAATCCCCTCTGGAAATCCTCTTGATCAAATTGTTTCCACTGAGTACTTCACCTGAAATTGGGTAGTCTGTGTGTTTATTTAGAAGAGAGAATTGGGTCAACTCAGGCTGGATGCTTAGGTTGAGCACATTCTTCCCCCCAACGTTTCTTGGATTTTTGACTGCTGAGCTGGTTCTAAAAGATATGAGGAGAATGAGTCAAGCCATTAGAAGAGAGAGGCACTATATAAATATAATGAGCAATAATTTTCACTTTCACCTTTTCTTCCATATGGTACATACAGATTCATATGGGAATCTGCACCTATGACTATTCCAGCCACATAAAACTACTCTGAGATGTAATGAACTCTCATGAGGAATTTAGCTTTTTTTAAACACACACACACACACACACACACACACACACACTTTCCACCTACTAGTTACATATGGATAGGAGTTACATGCACATAATATGGAACTCTGCAAAACAATGAGTATAACCTTTAATCTAGGTCACAGATAGAGCACATCTGGGACATTTTCCAAAATGATTCACAGAATGTAAGTGTGGAATGTGGGATGTAATCCACTGGGAGCAGTCAAATATAACATTCCTTGTTTTCCTAGAGTGGACATGCAAGGGGATGTTGGTCCAGCCAGTCAAACTTCCTGTTACACCTGGCTGGAGCATCCTTCCTTGCATGTGACTAGTGGGTGGGCTTGACCTTTCCAGACCTGGTAAAAGGCCAAGGCATGCTGCTACCCTCCCTCTTTTCCATCTTCCTTTCATCCTGCGAACTTCCTGGACTGAACTGCTGGCTGCCTACCAAGCAGTCCTCCAGATCATCTCCCTTATGGGGTAAACCTGTTTGTATATGTTTGTAACTTTAAGCCTAAAGCCTGCCTTCAGGGATCACACTGATCATAAGTAAAACTACTTTTTGTTACTTAGGAATAAGACTGTGGTGTCTTCATTCCTTTAGGAGGGATTTAAAAGGGGATCTTACCAGCAATATACAATTCAATCTGAGGCAGATTGAATTGCATAATAGTAAGAGGTTCTAACAAGGCTGCAACCAGCTTTCTGCTGTAAGAAGGGGAATGTAATCTCTGCTAGGTAAAAAACTTGCTAACACAAGTTAGGAAGGATATTAATAAACAATATATCCTCTCCTGCCACCCTCAACATTCCCACATGGAAGTCCATCCAGGAGGAGGGAAAACAAAATAGGCAGATCATCTCTCTCTCTCTTTCCTGGCTGTACAAGCAGAATGCACTTCCATATGTACAAGGGAAGGGGAATTTCCTTTGACTGGCAGCACCTTAAGGTGTGGTGCTCTGGATGGCCTTTCTGGTCCTGGGAATTTTGAGGGAATGGGGACTACCACTGGAGAGGAGACTATCAAGCCTAGCATACCTAGGTACCTTTGTAAGCTTACAAAGACAGCATAAAGGAGATCATAATTTTGTCATATTGGTTGCCCTCAGCATCAGGTAACCAGAGGTTCCATTTAAGTAATGACTAATAATAGGTCGCCACAAATGTCTGATAAACACGTCTGGTTTCCAAAACAGTGAGGGCTTGTAGGAATGTTTAGAAAGATAGGAGAGGATATGTTAATTAGGTATGAATCAAAGCAAACAGCAATCCATGGAAAGCCCAATTGCCGATTGGCTCTGATTCAGCAGTAAAATGCAGGTTTTCCTGGGGAAAGCACCAAGACAAACAAAAAACAAAAAAAACCCACACCATGCTTAGACACAGAGCTTTAAAGCCTGGACCTGTGCCTAAAAACATGGCACAAAATGAAGTCTGAATGAGCCCTGAGTTATGTGCTAGAGTGATCTTCTGCAGATGAGATGAGAAACCTGTAGTCCTCCAGATGTTTTTGAATTACAACACCCATCATCCCTGGCCACTGACCATATGACTGGGGCTGATGGAAGTTGATGTCCAACAAAATTTGGAGGATCACAAATTTCTCATTGCTGTTCTACAGAATTTTCTCTCCTGGCATGATCTCTTTCCCAGACTTTACATCAATTTAACTCCTTTGCTTCTCTGTTGTTCTTAGGATGAAGAACAAACATTGTGGATCTCCACCCTGTACATTTATACTGTGGGATATACTTTTTCTCTTGTTTCCCTTGTCTTAGCACTTTTCATACTGATGTTGCTCAGGTCAGTATAATCTATCTTTCAGTAAAACATGGTGTTCTGGAATTACCCAGTGGTACATTTTCCAATTGCCAGGAGCTGGGATTTGGACCTGGGTTTGCATTATAATCTAACGTTAAATGATGGCTGGTGTCATCCTGGACAAAGTAAGAGAAACTTCCTTCTTCCCAGATCAATCAAAGGATCTGCTCACCTAATAATAATGCCGAAGTTGCCCTGGTCATACCACACCTATGAGACCATGAAATCTGTACAGTTTTAATTGCATTGTGTATCATGGCAGCTGAGAGGGATAGAGTGGTGTTCAGATATTATCAGTGGGCCACCTGTTACCTGAGCATTATAAAAGAAGGCAAAAGATTGCATAATGTAAGTAGGCCCTTGTGCAAGGAATAAACTAGATGTTGACTAACAAGCTTCCAAATCTAATGTTTCCTTCGCAAAAGTATTGCAACAAATGTGCAACACCCACAGGAGAGAATAAATTAATTGGACATGGTTCCTATTAATGCTTGCCTGCCTACTAATTCTCCCCTGAAAATGTTCACACAAGCAGTTTCTAAGCCTCCCCAGCGAAGCAGTTGTGCTCCAAAACTGGCGATGAACCCAGCTAGCGTGGAAATGGCAGAGGTGGGTGGGAATCTTTGTAGCCAGCATGAGTTAAGCATTCCCCTTCTGCTGATCTTCTCCTGTAAGTGTTCCAGTAGTCTCAGCACTCCCATTCTTAGCAAATTATTGACTGGGATGAGAGATGTAGTTCCACCCTAAGTAGTGTTTGTCTTTTTCTGCTGCAACATGAGGCCATCTAATAGCAATGGCAGCAGTGAGGTCCTCTTGCTCATCAGCCCTATAGGAGGGACACACAAACACACACACACAACATTTTTTTATTTAGGAGCAAGCATCCCCAGCTGTCCAGTTCTCTGCAGAGAGTATATGTTGTAAACCACACAATACCACACCAACTTTGCCACTGCCTCTTTTCCTTTCTTGCTTCACAGAAAATGAGCAACAGAGATGGGAGCCCCTATACTCTTGGTTGTCAGGTGTGCTCAGCCCAGTGTAGGATAAGACAGAAATTATGCTACTGGAACAACATGCAGGCCTAGCTGATCCAAGTGTCCTTAGCACCCATAGCCGCTAAATCCCCACTAGGAAGGAAGAACATTTACAGCAGGGCAAGAACATACTGTTATTCAGATCAGAATAAAACCAACTTCAGTGGATTCCTAAGAGGATGCTTCTCTTCTTCCACAGGAAACTGCACTGCACAAGGAACTACATCCATATGAATCTGTTCGTTGCGTTCATCTTGCGAGCTGCAGGAGTTCTCATCAAAGACAGAACAACCCACAGCACTTATGTATTTCTTTATGTGGACTCTGAAAAGCCAAGTGATCTAAATGGATGGATATCCTTCTCAAGTCCAGAGGTATGGCATTGTTAAAAGCAAGTGGGTGGAAGAAAGAGCATCTAATGATACCTGGAGTTTCTATGTGTTCATGGCTGAATTCTGTAGCTGCAAAGCTTGCTAGAAAACTGTTGTTGATTGAACTCATTCAAAGCGTTGCATTCCATGCTGAGCATCCTTTGCTAGCAAGTTTCAAGCTCTGCATACTTTCTTTTGTTCGACGGTAACTGGCACACAAGTATGAAAATAGCTAGAAAATTCCTTCGTTTATTTATAAAGCTTATAGACTGATTATTATTTTTACAAAAAAAACTAAAGTGGTATGCCAGTTAAAAACCAGATAAAACAAGACATCTAAAAACAAGGTAAATGGGAAGTTAAAACAACTGGAGGAACAAAAGATGGATATGTCCGGAAGATTTACACAGGTGTATGCTGTCTTCCTCAGATGGCCTGTAGCCAGCACATACCACTCACAATACAGATGCATTTAAGGCATAATTATACCACTTTGACAGCCATGGATTGCAGGTAGTTTTTAGGAGAGCCCTTTATGCTCCTCGCAGAGCTACAATTGCTAGAGTAGTTTAACAATCAAGCCTTCTTCCCATAGAATTCTGAGAACTTTGAGATTGTACTTTGGCTAATTTGACCCTGTTGGACTCTTGGGCCTTTGCATTGCTCATGCAGCAGAGACCAAGTTAGCAGCTTGTTTCTTTTGAAGGCTAGCTTGGCAGTGCAGAAGGAAGGTATCTGGGCCCTGCTGCTACTAGTGTCCTCCATTTGAGAACCACCCAGCCACAGAGCTTTGTAGTCATTAACATTTAACAAAACTGCTTTAGAAGAATAGGGCTTTTCAAATATTCATTTTGACTGACAAGTATCTGACTTGCTTAACAAAAACTCCACATATCTGTATGTACCAAGCTGTATTTTGATAATTGGTAGTGCCAAGTTTTACTTTGCCGTTGATGGTTGTTCAATATTAACTTTTCTTCTCGCTATCTCATTTCCACAGAAGTTGTTCCTATGCAGGATGGCTCAGCTTTTGATGCATTATGTTGTTGGGGCAAATTTCTTCTGGATTTTAGTGGAAGGGATTTACCTCCATAGATTATTGGTAGCCACTGTGCTTTCTGAGAAACATCTGCTGCTGAGATACATCTTCATTGGATGGGGTAAATATACAGATTTTTCCCCCAGCAGCGCTTGTTTCAGGATTGGTTAGCATCAATCTAAAACCCATCTCATCAAGGCAGCTGCAGCCACGAAGGCCATGTCTATATTGAAGATAAGCCACCCCTCTCTATGTCACAACTGCCCTGGGCTACCTTGGGAAGAAAGGCAAAATATAAATGTACAATAAACTGAATAAATAATAATCGCCATCTGAGAAATGATCCAAACCCTGCCCTTCATTTTGACATCAGATTATTATAAGTATACTCTTCTTTTAACTTTGTTGCTGCTTTTATCTGCTCAGAGACTGTCCTTGGATAAAGAGGGTCACAAAAATGTATGACTGGATCAACAAGAGAAAGAAGTTGCTGTGATCAATAGCCTTTGCCTTGTACACAAATTAGTAATATTCCCTCCCATCCCTATATTCCAGCTCCTCCATTATTATTTAGTCCACAAGCACAACAACTGTTACATATTGCCCATTGCAAAGTCACATTGTCCCTGCATCTCAATTTTTCCCAGGTTTTCCAGTTCTCTTTGTGGCTTCCTGGGGAATAACAAAATACCAACTGGAGTATGAGGGGTAAGTGACTGCTTCCAAATGCTCCTCTGGCTTGGTTTGTTGCTTCAGTTTCTGCCAAGACAATAGAAGGCATGTCCTGCTGGTTTAAACAAAGGTCTTTGCATGGATACAGACAAACATTTTGCTCTGTGGTGGTCATTTGTAAACAGGCTGTGGAGATGGTGATCTAAAGTATATAGCCAGATAGTGATGGTGACTTTGCTAAAACACATTACACACACCCAAGCACCACCAGTTTCTGATTTTCTAATCCCCCTATTATTGATGTTTATGTGGACATAGTAAGATCAGTCTTGTGAATGGTATAGGAAAGCTTAGCTGATGTGGGCCTGATCATGGCTTGAACAAGAGGCCACTGAGAACTTAATACAAGCTGCTCTGAGCTTTTGAAAGAAAGAGTGGGATGTAAGTGTAATTAATAAATAGACCTCATGCTACACCCTGTTGGTCCCTAACGCTAAACCAAAGGAATTAAGTGAAGTTAACCTGGCGTTTAGATGCACCTAGTGGAACACAAATGAGTCATCATCATTTGCTTCCATAGGTATCAGTTGCTTAAGCCTCCATTAGCAAGCTCATTATAAAAATAAGAAATTGCATTACAACCCACTACAGCCACAACCATTAGAATAATGGTTTTGTGTTATGGGAAAATGCATGCCTTGGGATTACTTGCTTAGGAATGGATTATTGTTTACAATTGATTTTGAAAAATGTAATCTTGATGAGTAATCTGATTATTCCTCTTGGCAAAAAATAGCAACCAGGTTCACAGGTCCTATCCAAATCTATTTAAAAATAATGTGGCTTGCCATTTGTGCTTATGTGAGCTGACAGAATAATTTTGACTTACTCCCTAGATGCTGGGCAACACATCACAACATGGCATTCTGGTGGATCATTCGCGGGCCCATTTTGTTTTCCATTGTTGTAAGCATCATGGCATAAATTTGATTAATTCTTTATACAGTTGTGGTGGTATGTTTCTGTTACATGATTTACAAGGGGAAACATCTCCTGGTGCGCAGCAGGGTGAGACTGATGACCCTTTCCATGATTTGTGTCTCTCTGTATTTTACAAAATAAGGACTAACCCTAAATAATTTAAAGCTAGGATTGATTGAACAAAAATGGCTGTGGAAGGCATAAGGCAGGACAGGGACTAAAGGTGGGGGAGAAGTTTGCATTAAACTGTGAACTGACTGAATCTGCACTTCCTGAAGCAATACTTGGACTGAAATCAGCTTCAAAATTCAGAAGATCAGAAAAATGAGAACCAGAGAGTGTCCCAGAGAAGGATATGAGCAAGATAGTCTTGGGAACATGAACAGGAAAATGCTTTTGCATTTATATTTTAAAAAGAGAGATCACATGCTATGATACCCATTCAAATACATGAGAGCATGTAAACATGTATGCAGGTATTATGTGTGTGTGATACATAAGATATTGGCAAGGGTACTTGTCCTTGGTGTTCTTTTCCATCTGCTACTGATGCTCCCTGTTCCAGCAACCATTAATAAAGATCAAAAGTATCGTGGATCAAAAGGCTGACCTAAAGAAAGGGGGGGGGGCAGAATGAGATAAGAGAAATGGCAGGAAAAATTGTCTAAATGTGATGGGTAGAAAATCTCTAGAAACAATGTCTTCACAAGTTCAGAGGCTGCAATACTAAACACATTTACCTGAGAGTAAACTCAACTGAATTCAATAGGAATTACTTCTGAGTAAACACGGTTAAGATTGTGCTGTGAATTGTTGCTTGTGGTTAATTTCTTGTGATTGCCCCGCTGCTAGCCAAATAATGTTCATTGCATTTACTGAAACTAACCAAGAGGTGTGTTTCTTTGAAGGTTAACTTCTGCATCTTTCTAAAAATTGTGAAGCTGCTCCTTTCCAAACTTAAAGCCCAGCAAATGAGCTTTCGTGATTATAAATTCAGGTAAATATTACATTCTCAGATTTGTACTTATCTACTTAGTCTTCTACAGTACTTTTTAAACTGAAAGAAGAATCCACTGATTATGTTCCAGTTCATTCTACACAAGAATTTCCTACACGTCTATTTTGTTACATGTGCTGGAGAGAGAGAGGTTTGGACGAGATTCTAACTATCTTGGCAGAGTTGCACAATGGCTGATTGCACCAGGCACTTTTATGCTTGGTTACATCTTACCATGGGCAGCCTCACCCACCTTTAAACAAGCATTCACCATGAACATACTTAGGCTAGAATATATCACAGTCATGTGTTTTTTTGCACATAGGTGAATATTTTACTTACAAAGTTTCAATAGTAGTCAGAGAGCATGTGTCTATTGTTATGAGTTGGGAGGCAGCCCCTTCATAATCTCTACAATCAGTGAAGGGTTAGAATTTGAGAAAACTCATCAATTCATGACTTTAGCAAGGGCTGGAAACAATACCAACTAGCTTTCTTATGAGCCCAGCCTGGCAGTGGCTTGCTGGGGTTGGTCACTGAAGAAACAAAAGGCTGATAAGCGCCTAGTTTGTTTAATAATGGTAAACTCACTAAGACAATAAATCTGTGTCTGGGCTGTACCACTTCAGGTGAATTGTCATCTCCAAAACAACTGCAACATACTTATGCCCATAAAATTAACATGTCAGGGAGAAGGTGAAAAGGTTAAGGCTAATGACACCTTAAAGTTAGTTTACTATGACATAAGATTTTATGGATAACAATCTGCTTCTTCAGAAGAATGAAGTGTTATCCTGAGTTACAGGTACTTATCTACATGTTTGGAGGGCAGGGGCTGTAAGCAGTGAAGTCAGAAGGAAATGAAATTCGGCAAAGTACAGTCTATCATAGTTAGTGGTAATACATAGTACAGTTAAAAAGCCTTTGTTCCAATTCAGTCCACAAGTGACAACATTGAACTTCTTGATAAAATTGTAATTCAACAATTTCATGTTGCTGGAGGTTTGACTAAAATCCTTAAATATATCCTTAATCACAGGGGTGGGGGAACTGGCCTTCCACATGTTGTTTTTCCATAATCCCTGACAATTGACCATACTGGCTGGGATTGATGGCAGACAAACAACATTGGTAGGACCACAGATTCACCACCCCTGCATTAATATATCAATATCTATGTATGAGGTTTGATCATTCTGATGCTAGCACCAAACAAATGGAGGTGAGTGGATAATATCATGATTCCATTGAGATTTCTTGATGCAGTTTATCTCTAGGATTGAATTCATTCTTATGGTTATTTTTATTTTTAGACTGGCAAGATCAACCCTTGTGTTAATACCATTGCTTGGGATTCACGAGATTGTCTTTAACTTCATTGTGGATGAAAGAATTGATGGTCTTTCCAGGCACATAAAAGTCTTCATTCAGCTGACCCTGGGCTCCTTCCAAGTAAGTTCTTGTGCTGGAAGGGGCATTATTTATTACCACTAATTAATAAACAAAGGGCATTAATGAATATATATGATGAAAAGAAAAGAAATAATAATCTTCATACTAAAACCATAGACAGAGCAGAGAGCAAAAAATCTTCAAAGAAAAAGACAACATAGGGTTGAATATTGCAACTATTATAATATAATGCTTATTTACCTGAGAAAGTTCCAAATTGCTTGCGTATAACTTTTAGACATCTAGAGTCACACCAGTAAACCATGGTTGCTGGACATATTAGCGAATGAGGGGGAGGGAGCAGTCTTTGACAAATGGTTCTCAAGAAGAACTCTGTGGGAAATGTTCTTGAATATAAATAGCTGGTAAGGGTTTGCAAACAAATGCTGGAAAATTCGGGGAACAGACTATGTAATTTGATGAGTTAGCTGAGGAAATTCAGGAAACAACTTTCAGAATAGCAAGTATTAGAAATTTAAAATGATCATCACTCTTAAGACATGTGGTATACCATATTCTGTACTATTCTACAAATGCAATAAAGAACTTTGCAGCTAGTTCATTAACTATTAAATACAAATTCAGATTTGCTTGGGGATTTGTTGGTCCCAAAGAATGAGACATTTGGACTAAGTAAAGAGTTGCCATTAGGTCTGTTTTTTAAATGGGAAATTATGCAGTGTCTTTCAATCTTCATATATAAATCTGAGGAGAAATGCTTTGAGTCTTAGATGTCCTTAAATTCTTGCCAGCAGGAACCAGGTGCAAGAAGTCAGATGTATATCAGTCCAATATGCATGTTTCTTGCATTACTACTTTTTTAGCATGTCAATACTAAGTGGGGTTGGGGGGTCAGCTACTGAGCTTTTGGGAAACTGGCTAAATTTGATACTGCTCTTACAAGGTCTCACAATCACATCCTTGGGAGGGTTAAGTTCACAAGCTATACGTCTAATTTTGCCCTAAACTTCAGTTGCAATATTTCCTGCACAACCTAATGCGAAATGCACAGATTAGGTCAAAGTGATATATTTCGTGGTTTAAAATTGCAAGCCTGACATTTCCTCGAGCAAAATTGTTCTAAGAAAAATAAAACAGAGTTTTGGGTACTGGTGCCTCATCACATGATACCTGAGAGATAAAGGTGATTTTTGAGTAAGGGGAAGTTAGTTGTGTTAATGTTCAATTTAGCAGCATGATGACTCAGGTTTCAGGTGTTTTCTAGGAACAATATTCTGTGATTGCATAAGCTTGTAGTTGAATTGTACCTTGGCAAATTTCATCCAAATCTAATTTACCTTCTCTCTCTTTTCCCTTCCAGGGTTTCTTTGTAGCACTTTTATACTGTTTTTCTAATGGAGAGGTAAAATATCCTTCTTGGCCTTCATTTCTAACCACTTGTTTCTCTTGGAAGATGTTGCAGAACAGACTGACTGGTGCAGCTTGCACTTAGTCCTGTGTGACATTCTTGGTGGTCACCTGGCATTTTATATCAGTTAGTATATATTGAAGAGTTATTCAGTTTTCCGTTGTCTTCCTTGCAGTAGTTGGAGATATCATGCAAGGAACACGACCCCTTTCAGCTTGCTCCTTGAAACAGCAATATAGGGTACCTACTTGTAAACAGATCAACTTGCAATAAGCTGCCCATGCATGCCAAGCAAAAGGCCAGGATGCTGCCCTTGCGCCTCTAATTATGAGGAGGGGCACCAACCAGTCCTGATGTGCAACAGATTGGAGTAGAGCTGAGCCCAAATGGAAGGGGGAACATGAAGGTGTTCATTCTCCAGGAAGTGTTCTCCTCCCCTTTTCACTGAGGGCAGGGAGCAGAAACTGGTAGGAAGAAAGAATGGCAGAAAGATATGTGGAGAATGGGAGGCAGCAGCATAAACAGAGTGATATTCGCAATATTCAGCTACTGCACTGTGAAAAACATGCTGAAGTCATTTAAATAGCAACTATTCGTAAGTGTCTGTGTACGCTGTCCAAATACAGTGGTACCTCTGGTTACGTACTTAATTTGTTCTGGAGGTCCGTTCTTAACCTGAAACTGTTCTTAACCTCTGAAGCACCACTTTAGCTAATGGGGCCTCCCGCTGCCGCCACGCGATTTCTGTTCTCATCCTGAAGCAAAGTTCTTAACCCGAGGTACTATTTCTGGGTTAGCAGAGTCTGTAACCTGAAGCGTCTGTAACCCAAGGTACCACTGTATTGTGATAACATCAATGAGAAACCTGTTCTCTGTATAAAGTGCACACAGAGTTCTGTGGGAACATACTGGGACAGTAAGGGGGAAAGGTGTAAAGTAGATCAGGACCTCTTGAAAGGGGCATTAGGAGCAGGTGTACTGTGCTAAACACTGCAGAGAGGCCTAAGATTGTATTTTGTGCTGCAGGTCTGAGTATATTTTACTTGTAATTACTCAAGCAGTCAGGACTTCTGCCTGTTGCGTAGGTGTGGGGAATGAACTCTAACTTCCACCATCCCTGGCCATTTGCCATGCTTGCTTGGGCTGATGGGAGTTGGAGTTCTGCAATACCTGAAGACCCAAAGACTCCCTGCTCTTGCTGTAGGGCAGTGTTTCCCAACCTTTTTTGGGCAAAGGCACACTTGTTTCATGAAAAAAATCTCGAGGCACACCACCATGCCAGATGGGGAAAGGTCACTTTTTACTTATGTAAAAAAAAATAAAAAATAGTAACAGCATAGAAGGTAGAGAAGGTAGGACTCGAACCAGTGGATTCACGTTACAATAAAGATTTTGACTAAACATGGGAAAGAACTTTCTGCTGGTAAGGGCTGTTCAACAGGGGAATGGTCTCCCTCGGGAGGTTTTTCCCTTCTTGGAGGTTTTTAAGCAGAGGTGGGATGTCTGTCTGCCATGGATGCTATGGCTGAGATTCCTGCACTGCAGGGGTTGTACAGTACTGGATAGCCCTGGGGATCCCTTCCAACTCTACGATTCTATTAGGATCCCTTTTATAAAAGAGAGAACTTTAATGGCACGGCCATTATTTATTTCGGCTTCTCCCAACGGGGCCACGAAGGATCAGAAAAGCTGAAGAAGAGACCCTTCCTCAGAGGAGGCGGGAGACCACCGGACCCGCCGAGGAGGGGAATCCGGCCGCCTTTCCCTCCAGAGCTTCGCCTTTTGCCCCGGCCAAGTTGCGCCGAGGGCGCCTTGTGGGCTCTGCGTGGCTTCAGGCGTAGCCTAGGAGCCACTTCCCAGCCTGGAGGGCAGGCTGTGCGCGGACCCCGCCACTCTCGGGGCGCGACCCAGACCCGGCTGCCTTCCACGGCCAGCAGAGGTAGGCCGCCGGCTTCTAACCCGGCGGAACTGGCGCGTCCCGGGCGCAGTGCCGCGCTCCCCGCTCCTCCCGCCCCGCCCCTTCTCCCGGGTGCCCCTCCCTCCTTTGTTCTCCGGAGCCCCGCCTCCCCCTCTGCCCCAGCTCGCCTATTGGCTCACGCAGCCGCCACTCAGGTGGGGGCCCGCTTTGGCCCCGCTCCCCGGCCGCCGAGAGAGAGTGGGAGCGTGTGGGGCTGGGCTGGGCGGCCGGGCGTCTCCTTCCCTGCGCTGCTTCGGCCGCGTCTGCAGCCGCCGCGGGACCAGGCGGGAGGCCAGTCATGCCCAGACACTGCCAGCCGCTCGGAAGGAGCCGTCGCTCCGCCGGGCAGCGCCTGCCTGCGCGCCCCTCGCTCCCTGCGCCGAGGATGGCGGGGGCGCCGGGCGCAAGGCAGCGCCGGGGCTGCTGGGCAAGCGGCAGATGCTGATGCAGTTTGGGGAATTCCTGTCACAGGGAGCAAGGCAGAAGCGGATGACGGGGCACGTTCCCCGGGGAGCGGGGCCGGAGGATTAGCCCGACTCGCCCGCCTCCCTCCCACGGCACACTAGGCAACGTCCGGCGGCACACTAGTGTGCCGCGGAACACCGGTTGGGAAACACTGCTGTAGGGTAACCTAGCCACAGCATACCTGAACTAAGAAGTTCCAGGCTTATCTGAAAGGACAGAAGCCCTAGGACGGGTCAAGGAAGCATCTATACTACATGCTGCAATCCATCTCAACTGCTCTGTTTGCTTTCCTTCCTTTTCCAGGTAAAAGCTGAACTGCGCAAGAAGTGGTCCCATTTCTTGCTGGCATCCCCCTTTGTCTGCATGCCGTGCTTTCTCGGAAAGAACATCAAGCACCTGGGGAGATGTTCCAAGAAAGAGCATTCGAACAATAATTGCTTCTCCCTGGAGGTGACTCAGCCTCAGAGTACACAAGTGGCAAAGCAGAGGACAGGCGGCAAAGCGGAGCTAAGCTTCGCATTAAAGCATATTCCCAGAGCAAGCCTCTCAGACAGCAGTGAAGGAGAAGTCACAATGGGGGAGACGACCGAAGAAGTCTTCGAAGAAAGCGAGATTTCGATTTGTAACAAAAGTAAAAACTGAGATACCTGATTAGATCAATGAGGGATCTTGCATCATGTGCCATGTGGGAACCGCTGGAAGTAGGGGGGGGAGGAGCCCATGAAAGAAAAAGATGGTGAAAATAGCTTCTTAGCATTTTCCTCCAGGTTGACTCTTCCCAGGTAATTCCCCCCCCCCCGCCAAAATTAAAGCCAGCCAAGCCTGGTAACTGCATGAAAATGGCTTCTCCTTGGTCCAGAACCAGATATAAAATCAGGAATAAAAGGAATAGACTGAGCACCTTGAAAGAGCCTGCTGTTTCTCTTAGGTTTCCCAACATTGACCGCCACTATTGGAGCCATCAATCTGATCCCATGGGATTGCTCTGCAGCATCTCAGAAAGGACAACCATTGCTTTTGTGATACTGTTAAACAAGAAGCTGAATTCCAACAATGACTAAATGAACAGGATTGACATTTAGGAACGTGTGGGATTGTATATATTTATAAGCACATTTTCCAAGCTTTGCTGTAAAAATTATGAAATGCTGAACGGACTTGTTTTTAGGGCACAGCCGCTAATGCATCTTTTAATACATGTAATATACAAAGTTGTGGTTCTTTCTTCCATTATCCTACCAACAGACCTGCAAAAGGAGTCATTATTACTTCCACTTTGCAAATTTATTTTAAACATCTTTATACCGCCTCTTAACAGGGAGAAAACTGATATGACTGGAGATGAAAAATCTGAGAAGCTTCAAAATCACCAGATGGGGGGGGAAATGGGAGGGAGGTGGTGGCAACATTACCCAAATGCATCTATTTGTCAAACAGCAAGACAGTATGGTGTGTTTTACAAATTTAGGATGAGTTAATGAGAGAACAAGTGAATAGGTAAGCAAGCAGAAAAGGGCCAAGCTAGAATTTGCAACCAGATCCATGTAACATTTTTTCAATACAGCATTTTTATTTAAGAAGCAGCAGCCTGGGGAGTGAGGTGGAGGACCAAATGGGTGGTGTGCTTGCTCCTTTTACCACCAGCCAGGCCTTTCCTCAGAATTCTACCAAGCTGCTTTTCTCCCCATGGAGGAGAAAATATGGGTAACCCTAGGTCCACCAGAAGCTGCTTCACACCGTCTTGAAATCACAAGCAACTGCTAAGCTATGTACCCGCACAGCTCCAGGCCTGCTGTGTTACCTGTTGTCATTTTTATTTCACAAGCTGTTGATCTTACATGTATTTTCACAGATTTAAAAATGGGAAGCTGCCGAATTGTTTTCCTTCCTTATATATTGTACCCACTGTGAAATCCAAAGGCTGGTTTTGTCACGTGTAATTAGTTCTGAATTTATGTGCTGCTTGATGTACAATGACTTCTAAGCAGTGTACAAGTATATTTTTAAAAATCATTGATCAAATCCATACATAACTTTGAAAGGCAAGCGTTCTCTGCAATCCCTCCTGCTGAGTCTCAGGAGGTGGCCACACCTATGGAGATGAGCCATTTTCCAAAATATATATGTAGATAATAATAATCCTGAAGTAAATAAAACTCCAGGACCTTATCAAGCAAGTTATAGATCAGCTAAATCCATCATTCAAGAAACCTGGTTGATATACTGTCCATGTTCTTGAGAGCGATAACGTGGCTTGGTAAAATGCCATTCATTCTAGACTGTGCTTCTTGACAGTGGATTTTTGCAGCCATTTGTGCAATTCTTTTAAGACCAGTCGTCTTTCAAAGTATATTTTATGGTACGTATCCAGATTTCTTGTAATGAGGGTTGCTATTATTTCCTTTTAAGATGTTCTGTGTTTTCAAATGTTTTGTAGGATTCCATTGACACAAAGACCATGCCCTTTATACTGCAAAGTTAGCTCTTTTTAAAACAAAATTTCAGCTGTCTTAACCTGTCTTTAATGTTCTTTCCTAGTCTCTAACAAGGACCAGGTCTTGGTAGGGAATAACACTGTGTCATTGAATGAGATGAACCTAAAATGGCCACCCAGTTGCAAACACTGCTGGATGCAATCCAGGGAAAGTTATACTCAGATCCTACTGAAATTAATGGAACTTCTTTCCATATAATTGCACTTACACTTATGCAGCCTACATGCTAGAAAACAGCAGTTCCTCTGAGACCAGCCTGAGCACTCTGGGATTCATTGCTCTGTTGACGTGCTGAATTAATGTTTACACAAAGGAAGTTGGAGAATGCCCAGCACGTCCCTGTTCCATATCATTATGCTGGTCAGACAACTCCCCAGATAATAAGCAAAACTTTTCCTTTTACTCTAGCAGGGAATGAGTGGTTTGTACACAAAGCCCTCTGGCACACAGCTTTTGTAAGAACACACCAAATAGGCAGGCAGTAATATTACCCAATGGACTATTACCTATTACTCTGTGTAGACATGAAGGTTGCAATGTGCTTTAATTATCACCTGAGAGAGACAGAATAGGTAAAGATGGAATCAATTCTTATGTTAAGATGAAAACATTGAAACATTGAAACCAAGAAAGTTTTTCCGTACATCCAAGGGGTGGAAACTTTATTTTTTAAAAATGAAAGTTGAATGCCAAGTTCTGTATCAGGTATCAAAGTTTATGACTTCAAAACAATCTTACGGATTTAGGTCTGGTTCACATGTTACATTAAGCCAAGTCATGGTTTAGCACGAATGTGCAAGCGTGAAGTCTCCCAGAAAAGAGATTGCAACCACTTTGCTCCTCTCTGCTCATTTTGCTGATGAACCATGCTAATGACTTGATGTGGCGTTGTACTAACCTGGCCCGATGGTTTAGCTCTCTTCAAACTAATCATGACTGCTAAGCTTACTAAGGAATCTTTGGTGAGAGGAACTTTACTAAAAGCTTTTTAAAAGTCTAAGTGCACAATTTATACCAGGCACTTGTATAAATATACCAAAGTCTTGAAGAACTTTAAAAGGTTTGTGAGACAGGACTTACTTTGGAGAGGCCATTTTGATTCTTCTTCAGCAGGACTTCCTATTCTATATGCTTGATGATTTTATATTGAATCATGCTTTCCACCAGTTTTCCTCAAACAGATGTACTGTAAGCTAAGAGCTTTAAATTTCCTGGAAACCTTTTAAAAAATTGGTGTTATATTGGCTACTGCCCATTCTTCTATTACGGATGCTGATGCAAGTTACTTATTTTTGTTAGAAGATAGTTCTCTCAAATATATATATATATAAGGTTTTATCTTCACAGCCTCTTATATACATCTTTTACCATTTTCTTTTACGTAACAAAAACCAACAGGGACTTTAAAAGTAAATGCCTCCAGGCATTGTGTTTGGAGGTATTTTGTGTGGGGGTTTGGAATCTGTGGAGGTAGAGGTGAGACAGTTGCCCACCTTTAGGAAAAGTAATAAAATGGCATTAGAAGGGTTTAGCTATTCAGTTACAGGCTGTAGCACCAGATTATTATCTTGTAGAATATTGAAACATAATCCATAGAAGGGAATAATACGAGAACTGGACTCAGGGTCACTGACCTCACAAGTCTGATTAGAGGGGTTTTCTGTCTGAATTGTCAAATCAATGTATAAATTAAAACATGTGGAATTTTTTTTTGAAAAGGAGATCATTATTTGAAAAGTAGACAGCAGATGCAGAAGACGAAAAGGAAACTGACAAAACCGTGCCAGTCTGATTAGAATGTAGAATTCGTGAGTGCTGGGATAAAGGGAAAGTGTATTATTTTGAACCTCCAACAAGCATTTTACAATGTCCCTCATCAAGGCTCCTGAGTAAGCTTAGTGGCCATAGAATAAAAGTATGAGGTTTCTTATGGGTTAGTAATTGGCTAAAGAATGGAAGGCAGGAGCAGATGGACAATTCTCAATGAAGGCAAGAAAACAATAGCTGATTATCAGTACTGCATCTGGCAGGGCCAGCCCAATACTTTTTGGTACCTAAGGCAAAACCCAAAATGGCGTCCCTCCCTGGAAGAAGGGGTGATTGCAGATCTACATCAGGAACAAGGGGGAAATCAAGATCAATTTGGGATCAGCTGCCGCTGGCAATCCTGCCGCCTGAGGCAATTGCCTCAGCTGCCCCTATCTGGTGCTATTCAGCTTGCTCATAAACAAGTCTGTGATGACCAGGGAGGAAGTTATGGATAGGGAAAACTAAAGCAGACTGCAAAAGGCTCCAAGAGGGACTTTCCAAACTAGGTAAATGTAGGGGCAGGAGGCAAATAAGATTTAATGCAAACAAGTTTCAAAGATGGGTAAAATGAGCTGACACAATAAAATTGATTAGCAAAAAAATCAAGACAAGCAAAAGGAAGTACATGATGTAAAGTTCTTCTATGGCGTTCCCTGCAATGAGATGGGATGGCAAGCAGTTTAGATGGCTTTAAAAGAGATTAGACAAATTCACAGGGACCGAGGCTATCAATGTCTGACAGTCATGCTGGCTAAGTGGAACATCCATCTTCAGCAGCACTGCGGCATGTCATAAAATGCTAGTTGTTGGGGGAGGAAGGCATCTCTCTCTCTCTCTCTCTCTCTCTCTCTCTCTTCTCGTGTGTGTGTGTGTGTGTGTGTGTGTGTGTGTGTGTGTGTTGTGGGCCTGAGGGAGGCATCCGCTTGGTCACAGAGGTAAACAGGTGCTGTAATACGGGCGTCAGAAAATGGGTATCTTCCAACTCTCATCAGCTGCAGCCACTATAGCCTATAGGGAGCTGTAGTCCAATAATTGGGGGGGGGGCACAGATCCCCTGCTCCTGCTGTACTAGATAGATGATTGTGCTGATTCCATAGGGACTGGGGTTGAAGTCCAACAATCTGCAGAGGATCACAACTCCACACTGCTGCTTTAGACTCTCTGGAGAGCTGCATTTTTGCTTTCTCATACATCTGTAATCTTTCCCTGTTTATTGGGAGGGGTTGGAGTTGGGAAATCAAGTGACCTTATATAATCAAATCCAAGAGGCCAGGTGAAAATAATATTTTGGGCTACTTCAACTGATTGCAGACTGTACGGTAGGAAAAAAACTGCAACTGTATAAATCAGCAGTTTTAATCTTCAAAACTGCTGTTATTTATCCATGAACTAGACTGATGATGTTTATCTTGTTAGAGCGAGGACTCCACCTATCCAAATCAAACAACCATCCATCCATCTCATTCATTTTTCAAGAAAATAAAATGGTGCACTCATTTTTCTTTATATCATCCCATAGCAGATATATCCTTTAAGGAAACAGGTACAAAACCAGCACATAACAGCCTCATTTTGTATTCTATGTATGGTCAGAATTTTAGGGCGAGAAAGATTGTAGTGTCCTCTTTACTCTGACTCATGGACTAGATACAATCTGCCCCAAGAACACTTTAGGTCTTTAAAATTGTTCTTTACTACTCAGAGCAAGAATAATAAAGAGGGGAGAAAAACAACCTTGATTTTATTTGCTTTGCATATCACCTGCAAGACTTCACAAAAGGTGAATTTCCCACATGGAAGTGACTTCTGTATAGAAAACTGCATGAAGTGCCATATACTGTTGTCATACAGGTCTTCACACAATGACCTTTATGAAACAGTACCATGGCCTTATAGAATGCAGCCCATTTTACAGCCCCAGATCCACCCAACTCTGGTGCCTTTCTATGATGTATGTAACTCTTCCAAGAGCATACATTCATGCTATCATAGGATACCACCAAAAAGGACTTCCATGGCAGGCCAAGTGACATAACAACTGAATCCATGTAGGTAAAGCCATCATAGATACCAAATATGATACCTAAGGTAAAAGCTTTCCCATGCAACATATTACTTTAGAAAACTATTTATTATTGTTATTTGTATTATTAAGTGTAAAAACACTTGCAAAACAAAATGCTGTAAAATAAAAGATAATTCCTGCATAAAACTGAAATATCACACAAATTCTAAATTTTGTACAAATTCAGGATTTGACAATTTCCCGGAGCCAAATTGATGGCTCAGGAACCAAGATAACATTTTGCAAACCATATTCACGGTTTTTTTAAAAGTTCTAATTGATTGTAGTAATCAACAATCTTCTAAGCAGATACCAACAGAGTCTGATGACTTTTACTGCCTAGTTCGATTAATTCAGACTGCAAAGATAAAAAATCAGCACATAAAACTCAAAATTGCCTCATTTTGCGCTCTACGTAACCTCAGGGATTGCCTCATATGAACCAGCCTGGACCATGTGGCTGCATCTGAAGGGACATAGTATTTTATCTTTGACTGGGACATGGTCTCTAGGATGCTTTTGGCACCTCAAGTCTATCATTGCTATGAGGCTGCTACAATCAACATGAGGTCACCAAGGCCAAACAAGTAAACAAATTATACTAGAAGGAGTAATTTAGGCATCCTTCCACAAACAATTCCTTAAAAGTAAGAGGCATAATCTATCTCTAATGCCAAAATCAAGTCATGGATCTGTAAACAGTTACAATTTATACTGAATCTTCAGAAGATGGAGCATTTGGTTTGCAAAGTTAGAAAACAGGGCACAAATAGCCAAACTGCAGTTAGAAGTGCATACCTTAAATGACATGCATGGAAAAAGTAAAATTATTACAAACAGAAAGAAGTGTTGTCTAATTCCACAGGAATCTGCAACTTTGGTATAAACATACTGAAAGGGCTGTTTTTAAAGAAATATAAAAGCTGTCCCAGTGTACAACAGTAAATGAAAGAAGGTTTTACTCAGTACTGGTGAGGGTGAGAAGAGAATTTGCAATTACTTCTAGTAATGCCGTATATCGAGGATGATTCAAACTGGAGAACATGAATGCAGAAGGGTAATACTTTAGACATGTTTTGAATTCTCCTTTGTAACACTCAGAAGAGAAGCAGAGCAACCCAATATTGCAATTGCTAAAATTATCTACCTCAGGTTATTGGAAGCTTCTGGAAACATCTGTGTAGCAAATGTTTGCTGGTTGCTCTGTTGATGTAGCAGCAGCTCTATGTACAATTGCCTGGGGTCCTAGAAGCGGCCAGTGGATCTCTGGGCCCCTCAGAAAGTTTGAACCATGGGCCAGTGCCCCACTTGTCCCCACCCCACCCCTGCCGGCCTGTACTCTGGAGTCTAGTTCTAAATCAGTATCTGTGACTGACCTTCAACCGTCCCAGTTCCAGTGTGGCAAATTAAGCTGCTCTTTGTCATCCTGCCTTTTTAGCCGAGCAGTTTAATAGCAAATCCTATCAGGAAGCTGTGGATGGCTTTCTGCACCTTAGGGACCAGTCTTCCCCTAGTAAATGTCTCCTACCCAGCCATATCCTCAATTAGAATTCACCACATGAGTCTTGGCCATTGCAAAATGAGTTCTCCGTCCCCTGCTGTTGAACACTATTTAATGTGAATCGTGGTCACTACATGATGGCCCCCAACTGACACTGTGAATTGTAACAGACAATGAAGCCACCGGGTAAGAAACTCGCTGTCGGGGTACCAATCCCCTCAGCAAATATAATAATCGGAAGAGCAATTACTCCCAGTTTTTGAAGGGCAGAAGACTCCTTCTTCAGACTCTCTGTTCAGAATATTTGACAAAACGCAGAGACCTCTAAGGAATTTACTTCAGAATTGCCAGTTTGGAATAATTGGCTGTAAGCCGGAGGAAGTCTTGTGTGCACGCATAGACACACACACACAGAGAGAGAGAGAGACAGACAGACAGACAGACAGACTTCAACTTACCTTACATCCTTTTCTCACCGCAACTTCATAATCCATTTAATTTCAAGATAATACTCTACAGAAGCACAGCTGCTGTGTTCTTTACTGATTTGCTGCCTAATTGTTATTATTATTATTATTATTAAAATTTGTATACTGTCCTATACCTGCAGGTCTCACTGTGGATGCAACATAAAAACAGGATATGAAAACACAAAATACATAACAAAAACAAAAACAACCCAGTCCGAGAAATGTCATTCCCTGTTAAACTCAGCAGGGGGGCAGACAGTGGCAAAACTAGAATATGATGACTCTACTGGTCACTGGCTCTGGTTCCACTTACTGTCGGTCTCCATGCTTTCCACCCGACCAGTGAATACCACTGTTTCTATGAGTAACAACTCATGTCTGAGGCAACAATCTACCCTTAAGAACTTCTGAGGTAAAGCAGACCAAGAATACCCTCTGCTCAGCCAGCCCTTGCCTTCCTGGTTGCTCTAGAAACTGCTGCTAGTTAAAACCTACTCACAGGGCTGGTAGCAGTTTTTATTCACCCCCCACCACCTGAAGAAACCCTAACACATTCTTAACCAGGTGGGTCTATGGAATGACTACTAAAATATCCAAAATATAGATGAAATACTAGGCAATGTGTACATCAAGTATAGGTGGGTTTTGCAGATGACACTGTAATGCGAAATGACACTGAAACATGTTTCTATGTGGCAGGAAAAGGAAGTTTTCTCTACCGTGGATTTCTGTTTTCTGAGTTTTCTGTACAATAGTTCTCAACGTTGGGGTGGCGCCTTCCCTTGGAGCATTGTAGGCAGGGTCAAGTTTTGATGAGGAAAGACGCCTTTGCAAGGAAACAGCAGTCACTTTTTAAGGTGCCAGAGATTTCAGACCAAAGGCTGTCTTTCCTTGGAGGTCTTTTTTAACCAAAGTTGGATGGCCATTTGTCAGGGATTCTTTAGCTGTGATTCCTGCACTGACATATTGGGGACCTGAGTGAAATAAAGCCTAGCTTCACCCCTGCCTTTAGATCCCTTCCAACTCTGCAACTCTATGATTCTATGACTGCAACACCTTATTTTGTGACACCACTGGGTCAGCGTAACAGAAAAAAGGAGCTGATAGCATGCTTTCTGCTGTGTTGCAGTGTCACCACAGAAGATGGTTAAAGGGTATCGTTACAGCAATTGACTCAATAGGGTCCAAGAGGGTGTGCCTGTTCCTATTCATTGAAATACTGCCTTCTTGCATCCCGATGCATGTTAATCTTTTTCTATGTACTGATGTATGCATGTACATAATCATGTGGATTAATTTGAGTGTGAAGTGGTCACAGAAATCCTGCTGCTTATTAGTGAAAATAACAGTTCAGTAACACAGCATTTAATGGACTGTACAGTTTATTTTACATGAGATGAGACAAAGCTTTTCAAGTGCATAATACAAACTTGCTAAAATAGAGGAAAGTACAAAGTTTATGGAAATGTTTGTACATAAGACGGGGGGAAAATGTATAGCAAATACCTTCAACATTTAAGGGCTAGATCTGTAAATGGGGTAAATCAGTGCAACTCCAGTGATATTAACATTTAGGAGACATACCTGAACTGACAACAAGGCCCTTAAATTTTAACGAGTATTTATTTACCTCTTCAGCTGCAGTGTTTTAGTCATACAATTGCATGGGACAAAAAAGCCACATTAACAGTTTTCACAATGATTAAAGGCTCACTGCTGTTATTGATACACAGAGCTTACAGTAGAATTAAGTTTTTAAATGTCTAGTCAGCCCAAAAATCTGCAGCTAAGTATTATTACAAAGTTCAAAGCCATTACTGCTGGTAGAGGACACATTTGACTGTAAAAATTTAGAAAGTGTTTAGTAAAAGGTACAGGATAAAAAGACGAGATAAGCAATGCCATTTTTTAAAATCTCTTTTTTAAAAAAAACCTGTTTTGGGGAGAGCTAGTTGCTGGCCAGATCTGCCCTCCAAATCTATATCTGCAAAACTGAATTGTGCACTTTCAATTTACTCATGGATGGTAAAAAGAAATACATTGTGAATTTGCTTATCCATATAGCCTGTGATAAGCCTACAGTGTTTGGAAACACAAGTTTTGATAACAGGGAGTGTTGCTTTCATAAGGCTACTCTGACATGGGAGACACACAGTGAATTCAGATTCACTGGGAAAATAGACAACCAAATACAGGTAACAGAAATTTCAGTGTACACCAATTTTGGAAAGGAACACAAGGATATATTTGCCAGAAATCAAAGTCAACAATCACAGTTAAGGATGTTTAAGGCTGCAATCCTATGCACATATCTTGGGAAAACTTCCTTCTGAGTAAACATGCATAAACTGCAAGCTCCATTGATTGCAACCAATTCACTTTGCTATTCATTAGATTGTAGCCACCTTCACTTCCTTGCTCTGCAATAAACATTATTGCTACTACATAGACATGATGAATTGGGTACTCAAACACTGAAGGTAGTCTTGAGTTTTTCTGCTAACCGTATTCAATGCACATTAGGGTCAACCGATTTAAAAATATTGACAGAGTGAAATTACGACTGTCTACAAACCCCAAACATCCAAAAGGTTCATTACAATTTCCATTAAAAGCATCCTCTTCACTTGCAGTGCTTATGTAACAGAACCACTAGAGAAGAACATCAGTTTGAAACAAATGCTGCCAAACTTGGAATCGGTCTGCTTAAATGTTACTGGGCACTCGCTCAAAACTTGGCACAACCTAGGGCAAAAAAAGGCCCTGCACCACTTTTTCAAGGAGTGTTATGTGATTTTCCACTAGCATTAATACTGTAAAAAATTCTATATTAAAAGTGGACTATATTAAGAGTGGACTATGAGCTCAGAAATGTAAAATCTAATAATCTGAGGTGGATTTGTAATCTCTAAAATATTATTTTGCTGTTGGTATTCAAAATGCCCAAACTGGTTGTGCTTTAGACTTACAGCAAGATCTTCCTGGAGTTTGCTTGTGATAAGAGCAGCAAAGGAAAATACGCCCCCCCCCCCAATATCTCAGATTGAGTATTTGAACACAACTGAAAATATGTCTGTTCTTTACATCCCTTCTAGATTAAAACCAATCTTACCCAAGATATTTCAACTTAATATAAGTTGGGGAATTTTTTTCTATTTCTCTTCATTTCCAATTCTCTGTGCTTCCAAAACATTGGCCTTCCTGCTGCTGCCCCCTCCAAATAAGGTTCTTCTTATTTTTTTATTTTTACATGGTCCGAACGTTAGAATAAGAGCATTTAGCTAGATTTCAACAGTATTTGGCACCGTGGAGTGCATAAGGACTAAGAAAGTATCAGCAAGATATGTATCTTGCTGAAATCAATGGCATACCATTGGTTTTCTGGATCACACCATAACCAAACCAAGACAGCTGAGCAGAGAACATATCATAGAAAGGAGCCACCATATCACAATGAATTATGTAGAACACACAGCAGAGGCTCAAGAAAGGCTTGCTGTAAAGTAAATTTCCAAGCACTTAAAAAAAATTGTAGTTACCTAAATCGACTTTTTAAAAAAGTATCTGTACCAATCCTGATAGCAGGTGGAAGGTTTTCAGGAGGCGTAGGGACAAAACCCCAACTTGGAAATCTGACAAAAATTGTTGTCTGAAATTAGACCACAGCGAAATATTCTGAAGCATGTATGAGTGGGCACAGAATGAATGGACATCAAACTAAACATCAGGAGCACTCACTGCCATGTAAGTTGAAGTCCCAGTCATATGGGAATGTCAAGTTTTGGGGTGCAGTATTCTTTGTTTCATAGCAATTGTGGGATAAAAGAACTATTGTCTTGCTCCGCAATGAACAAAGGCCGCAAGACTCTCAAAACATCACCTTAACAGACGTACACAACCATCAGTTCTACAAACACATTGGTTGACTTGCTTATACGAAAAGTGAAGGAAACTAGAGTCACACAAAAGTCAAGCAGGAGAACCCCATGCAAGATCAGCAAAATGTAAAATACATGGCAGTGCCACCTCCAGGCACAGTGTATGGTTACATAATGCTAAATGTGAGCGTGTACACTAGTCAAATTGCTGGGAACCTTTTACGTTTTTGCCTGCCAGATGCAACTGCATGCTATGCCTTTGAGGTTTTAAAAAAATCCACTGTAACACATCTTAGTTACTATGTATTGTGATTTACGGACAGGATCTGAGAGACAACACCTTTGGTGCAAGTACTGATAGAGCACAATCAGTTCCGAGTTCATGCAACCAACGAATGTTCACTGTTGGAGACCTACTGAGCTCAAGGTATTGGACTGGACAAAGTCTACTTATTTACACTATTCACATATCTTTATCCACATTATATACACAAGTACTGACACTCCTAAATCAAGGCCATATCTGCACTACAGATTTCACCCTCTCTGACAGTCGTCATTCGCTCTTCCTAGGTAAGCCTGGGAACTGTACTTCTGAGGTGACGACCAGGTATAGCTCTAACAGAGAATTCGCCATAATTTCACCCAACTATATTTTCCAGGACTCTTTGGAAGAAGATATCACTTTAGCACGATGAAATCACTATTAGTTTCTAATGGAAATATGTACCATGTGTAGAAGCTTCCCACTCAACACTTCCCAATGAGGGATTATTTTAGATGCTTGATCCCACCTCCACAACTGTTGTTGCAGCTATGGGGGCGAAAATCCTTGCAAGATGCATATTTTGTTATTTCCCTGCTTGATAACAAATCTGGGGCATTATAGATACATCTGTGCTACACTTCCCCATGCCCCACTGTATCGTATAGTAATATCCTAGTCAGCCTCTAAATTCTATAGGTCTGCTGAATTAATTTGTAAGAAAGAAAAAAAGGGAGGGGGAGGGAATCAAAAGGGAGCTTATGATCAGCAACTGCCAAACAAACTTAGATCAGTTATCAGTATCTCATGCCATGTAGCTGTGCAAGCTAAATCTACACGAAGTTTTAAGAATCATTTTGCCCCCTGCTCCTTTCAAAATGGTTGCCTGCTCATTTCATCAGATGTTCTTTCGTCCTTGTATTCTCAGGTTCGTGCCCTTATGCCCACCTGTCACATTTTCCCCTACTCCCACCTTTTAAAGATGGGAATGTAAGCCCTTTTGTGCTCATAGCCATCCTTACAATGGCACTTCTGTGCTGTTTTCACATCAGAGCCTGGCTAATAATGGAACACTGGATCAGAATGCAGCTGTGAAGGCAGCCCAAGCAGCATTGTTAAGCAAAGCCTAGAACAAGCCCGCATTGTCTGTGACAGAAAATAGCAGAAAAGTTTGCTTTCCTTTCCCATTTCACACTATACAGAGGCCGGGCAGCTGGCAAAATTCTGAACTGGATGTAGGAAAAAGTACACGACAGAACAACAGATGTATGAGAAGGAATTCAGAATTTTAATAGTGACTTCATCCCTGTTGTAGGGGAGGGAAGGGGGTGGGGAAATCAAAAATAGAAGGATGACTGTAGAGAACTTGAGCTTCTCCACAGTTCACAAAATTGAGCTTATGGACGATATACTCTGAAAGCATACGGAATAGTCCTGAATGCCTAAAAACACCAGGGCAGGCATTGAAGCAGGGATTTAGCAGGTCTTGCTTAGGAGGCCTTGTGTTTATGAAAACATTGCAACCTTAACAAAACAATAATACTAACTATGGAGTAAGCCCTACTTTACAAAGGGCTTACTTCTGAGTAAATGCATAGATTTGTTCTGTAAAAGATTACATCTATCAGCGAGAGTAAAGCTATGTCTTAGGAACAGGTGGCATACAAAACTAGTATGTCCCTGAATAAAGTCAATGAGATTCTACAACAATTATGAAGAGACAGGTGCCCCAGCAGAACAAAGGGTGTGTGTGTGAAATATAGCAGCAGCAGATGGCTACACAAGGATGTCTGGCATGGAAGACAAGCACTGTGCTTAGGTTTTATTCATAAACTATGGGTAATCTTTTAACTTACTGGGCTGTATTCAATTACAGCATCCCATCAGATAAAAGGATTTCCAGATCAGCTTGCCAGTTGGAACAATCCCCCCCTCCCATCGTGTTGTTCTGGGGGGCCCTCCTGCTTCCCAAGAACCAAATTTTTGGGGGTGCAGGACGAGGAGATGGGGGGGAAAGCCCTGCTGTAAAGGCAGGGCTTCTGCTGATTGGGTTTATTAAATGAATCCCACCCATTCAGAGTAAGTGGCTTGTGGACTACAGTCAGTGAGTACCTGAGAGGGCATATAAAAAAGGACCAACCCTTTCGTAAGGTCACCAGACCTATTACCTCATTTTCTTTTGTACTGAAAAACACAGATTTGCATCTGGATATGCTCAGAGTATATCTTAAAAAGCAGAGACATCACCTTGCCAACAAAGGTCCGTATAGTTAAAGCCATGGTTTTCCCAGTAGTGATGTACGGAAGTGAGAGCTGGACCATAAAGAAGGCTGATCGCCTATGTGAAACTGGAAAACTGAACAAATCAGTTAGGACTTATTTCATATTGTTGAGTGTTGGCAAGTGTTTAAGCCATGAGCACTCTGTGTTAAAATGACATTGAGATTAAGCAGCTAGAAAACAGATGCAAAAAAAATTGGCTGTTCATGAGTGGCTAATCTAATGAAAATTCAAGTTAAATATGAACTGATATAAAAGAACCACCTGAAGTGTGAATGGCACTTGCGAACCATCTCATGACTGCAAGTCATATAACAAATGTCATTTTTTAAAATATAAAAATAGTAGGAATGTGGTCAATAGCACCCAGAAAGCAAGGACATCCAGTGAGAACACTGAGATGGCACAGGAATTCAACAGAGGCAATGAGGTTTTGAACTTCAATTAAAGAGAAAGAACATCACAAAATTGGCATGCTGAACTTTTTTTGTTGGTCTCCTTTTAAAAGAGTATTATCATTTGAACAGCTATCTCCTTTTAAGTTTTGAGCCCATAAGTTTAGATGAGAACGAAGCACAAATCATAAAGCAGTACAGCAAAGAAAGTTTCTGAGGACAAGCCTGAGTAGAAACATGTTACACATAAAATGGCTGTACGGTTACAGTGAAATGGTTGGCTGTAATGCTGTGATTGTTTCCCCTGAAAGGCTTTCTTAAGTCATGAAAAGCAACTATCCATTGCATCAGGTTATGCAGAGAACCAGAAGGGCAAAGAAAGAGGCCATTTCATCTGTTCTTTGCCAACTAATTGTCTATTCAGGATTTTCAAGGAAAGGGCTCAACAACCCCTTCTCCCACTCTGCTTGCCCCCCTCCTGTTTGAAGCCACCTATATCTATATCTACTTTACCTGGCAAAAGAGAGCTTTAAGGAGAACAAGGAAGGGGAAATGAGGATGTTAGAGGGTAGTAGTAATGGCTTGAACCTAATGGAACCGGCCACTCAAATCTTAGAACTCAATGGGTGCCACTTGGTGCAAGACAGAAATTTTAAAGTGCAAACAGGCTGTGTCAGCCCAGAAGAAAAAGGTATCTGGTGTATAAAAATAGCAAAACAAACAAACCTAGCACAAGCATATTACCAATTACCTTATAGATCTGCCACATTATAAAAAGAGACTTCTAAATCAGTATATAATCTTTAGCAATCTCTGGGAGAGCTTGCTTTAAATGAGGTGGCTCCTCAAAGTAAAATTGGTAGAGCAGAGTGCAGTGTGATACCTCCAGACTCTGAAGAAAAAAGGAGAAAGACACCAGAAACATGGAGCGGGAGGATAAAGTGTAGGTCACTACAGAACATAGAAAAATGAGACAATTCTTATTTGGTGCAAAGCAGCAGACACACGAGAACAAAATCTGTCAGGTGCTGTTGAGTATTTATGGAGCAATGGCTTAAAATATATTTTGAGAGATGGTCTGTTATTTTTCACAATTTGTGTGGGCAGTTTCACTTATGTTGGCTGATACCTGAGAACACACATGAAGGAAAATGAGAAGACAAGGTCTATATCATGCAGGGAGCAGACTGCTAAACAGTGAGAAGGCCAGGAAAAGGCAAGTGAGGGATGCTCCAGACAATGGCAAGCTGGTTGAAGGATGCACAGAATATGGAAATATGACTCTGGTTTTCAAAACAGGAAGAAGAATTGAACGGATGCCTTGGAAATCTTTTTAATGCTGGGATGTGTCCAAGTCTCAATTTCCCCACACATACCAACAGGATAAATTGTTCTTTTTTGCAACCTTGATGGTCAGTTTCTTGGGGGGGAAAGATGAAATGTGTTTCCTATTAGAAACCTGATGTTACACAGAAAGAGGGGGGAAATGATATTTCACTGGAAGTAAAGCAAGGGAAGAGTACGCAAGAATGTTCAAATTAGCTGAAGTTGTGTTGTAACTTATTGGGATAGTTTGCTTGACAGCACCAAACAAAACAAATGTCTCCTCTCCCACCTACACCTCAACCCACCCAGGCCAAAGTGAGCTCATGGAACTCCACTTATCTGCAACACCTATCGTCATTCAAAAAATAAAAACATTTATCCAGTGAAATCTGGTCATAGTACAGACTTATGCATTCCAGTAAAAAGAATATTGGAATACTCAGGAAGGACATAAAGGGCTATCTGCTCCTCACATTTGCTTATGACAGCTGATCAAACAAAACACTTGGCAGTATGAGGAACGAAAAGAGATCAGATAAATTCAGAGGGGAAATATTTGTTCTGTATAAATACCAAGGCAAGACAAGGCAAGACAAATGAAGAAAAAAGAGGGACAAAGAACACCGTGGTTCTTCTCCAACAGTTCTCAACATTTGGGACCTCAGGATCAATTGGGTCCATCGTCATTCACGAAAAGAGCTGCACTTCAGAATGTTAGCTTCAGAATGCATATTTGGCTGGATTTATACAGTCGTTTCTAATTTACTCGTGTTGATTTTTGGCTATCACCGCATGGTGGGAGCTACATGGAACTCGGTCTTCTGAAAAGATTTGACACAGACTGAATTCCTTGTTTTAAAATGGCTGCCATGATGGAGGAGTTCAGGAGCCAAAGGCCTGTTAAATCCTCCCCAAAGAGCAAGTCCCACTTGAAGGTTGCTGTGGCGTGACGCAACCAGAGAGCAATTGGATAAATCCACCTTTTGGGTAACTCATGTTTGAGGTAAGACACATTAGCTAGGAAGTTCTGCCATCTATATAGTCTGTAAACTCGTAAGTTATTTGGTGGAAAGTAAAGCTCAAGCAATGCTTTAATTAATTCGATTTGGCTACAATCTTTCAAGGGAAGCATTTAAAAAGTTCTTTGAAGACTACAGCATCAGGGTCCTAATCACTGTAGCCTTATTATCTATTCAATGGAGGATATGGTTTTCTTCTGGAGAGTGCTGATAAATGTGTGCAATTCTCAGAACGTTTCCTCAGGAATTGTCCCTGGCAAAGTCAAGGAGACCATGGGTGGGATTCATTGTCACGCTGTTACAAATGTTCTGCCTACACAAGCAAATCAGCTTGCCAGATGGAACAATCCCCCCTCCCACCGTGTTGTTCTGGGGGGCCCTCTTGCCTCCCAAGAACCAAATTTTGGGGGGTGCAGGAGGAGAAGACGGGGGGAAAGCCCTGCTGTAAAACAGAAGCCCTCCTGCAGGGCTTCCACTGATAGGGTTTATTAGATGAATCCCACCCATTCAGAGTAAGTGGCTTGTGGACTACAGTCAGTGAGTACCTGAGAGGGTATATAAAGAAGGACCAACCTTTTCAAAAGGTCACCAGACCTATTACCTCATTTTCTTTTGTACTGAAAAAGACACAATTTCACAGATGGCCTCACAACAGCAGTCTGCAGTCATAGGAGTCAGGATTTGTTAAAAAATACGTATTGTACAGGTTTTACTGTTATCCTCACAACACCCCTGTGAGGTAGGTTAGCTTTATAAATGCCATTTCATAAATTGTAAAGGGAGGACAGGAGCATTTTCCTCAAACCCCCGCCTTCCCATCCAATTAAGTGGCAATATTCAGGAAGATCTCACTCCTTCCAGAGTCGTGTTCAAATTCACCAGTCTCGTTTGTTTGGCAGAGGCATATTGTGTCTTAGCATTGCTGTACAAACAGAGCATCATGCAAGGGGAGTAGCATGAGATAGTCAATCACAATTGAATAGCAAAACTCTCTTTGTACCAGAAAACAACCCCTGCAGCTTATCACGAGTGCGGCAACTGCTTGGCTGCTGACAGCCCATTTTTGAAAGGAAGTATAAAGCGTGGCTTCTCAGACCTGGAATGTTCGATGTTTAAGGCAAAGCACAACAGGAAATGAAATAATGATCAAACATGACAGAAATAGTCCCTACAGGCAATAATAAATATATAAGGAAGCTGACAGCAGAACGTCTCTCTTTTCCCTACTCCTGAGGCTTTACAGAACTCTCTCGAACATGGCTGGGACAAGGAGCCCACCACTTACAACCAGTAACAGCAGTCTATATCTCCATATCCACGGGTCTGATATTACCGGTTTTGTGTTCTTTTACCCACAGTTCCCTGTCTTTGGCTGGATCCACTTTCTGAAGCAACTGATCCACGGGTTCTACTGTCTGAAAGACACAGAAACAATAGCAGTGTTACCATAAGAGCACAAAGGAATGCCTAATGAGACCCCCTAGCAAAACTGAACCACTTCTCCACCTCCTTCTCCCAGTTCTTCAGATTTGTTTCCTCACTGTGCTCAGACAACATTTCCAACTAGGCCTTGAGCTATTCCAAGGATACCATTTTGAAAGAAGAGCAGACCACAGATATTACATCAAGGAGGCCAATGCGTTTTAATCGTTTGTTTTTTCAAGTCAGCTGTGGTACTTATGCCGTTGTCTACACTGGAGGGCAAGAGTTTGGCGGGCTCAGTGCAACTCTAAGGCTCTAAGGTTTACAAGGGCCTGCTGAAATACTGTTTCAGAAAGGAGAAAAGGCCAAGCAAACTCACGCTTTGGTTGAACATATCTGTCTCGTGCCGCAACTGTGTATATTGACAAAGGTGCTGCCGAATCATCTCCACTCTCTCCACCTCTAGCCTCTCAAGCTCCTGAAAGGAAACAATAAAAGATTTTCATTAAAACATGGGGGATAAGGCAGTATACTTGAACATCAAATGAAAGGTGAGATTGCTTTATGTGAATTTCTTAGTGACTAAGAACTTCACTATTGTTCTCTAAAGAATCCATCTGAAATGAGAACATGGATCAAACAAGAGCTGAAGCAGATGAGGGCTTTACCTGCTACCACAGCTCCTACTATGAATACCCAACCGATAGTCTCTAATGAGCCCTCTCAGAATGCAGGGGCCACTGTAACGATGCACAGAACAGGAAAACTGTTGCGTACACAATGTCTGCTGAATTTGCCAAGATAGCTTTTTAAGGTTTAATGTTTTACTATGTTTTAATATATGCTGGAAGCCGTCCAGAGTTGGACCTGAGAATGTTGTGGCAAGATCAGGCATGGGCTGAACTTTTGATAATGTTTACCAGATGGGCACTTATCACTGAAGTTTTGCAAACATAACATGGAGAGACCCAACATGACATACCAGAGAGGTGGTCACCATTTCTTCAAACCACTTTGACTGGGCTTGATTATACAGATCCACACAGCGCATGAGGTCATCTCCTGCAACACACAAAGCAAAGCAAAGAACAGTGAGTAACTTTTTTTTGCAAGCCCACTCACTCGCCCTAAAGGGTACTTAGAAGTGAAAGTGCAGTTATCTACAGGTTTCTACATGCAAGGTGTTAAGAACGAAGAGAATGTAGTGTAGCTAAATCAAACCCATTAGGAGAGAAGTGAGTGGTGATCTCTCCATCCTTATTAATAGGAGTGAAACACAGTTGTCAAACAAATACCGCGGGCTCATCCAGCTGGACAGCATGCCTCACAATGGAGCATGTTTGTAAGACAAACACTGAGAAACAAACCAGTCCATTGATTTCCTACCTCCCAGGTGTGTCCTCCTCTCCCTTCAAGGAAATCTCCCCAAGTCTCCCTGGCCACTGAGGCCAAGAGTCATCAAAATATTCAGAAACTGTGTCATGGAACAAAGGGAAAAATATTGTTTCCCACTTCTTGAAATTTCAATTTCATTGGACTGAGAAACAAAAGTACAGTTCAGTGAGGAAACAAAATGGAGTTTTTGCCCCAAGCTTTGGATATTTATTTGCTATGTCAAATGGGCAATCCATGCTTGTTTTATGGCTTCCCTTTGTTAAACTCCCTTTCCTGGTCAGGAGTAGCTGTCAGGGAGCACCATATACCTGATCTCCTTGCAGCAGAATTGCTGCCATGTACCAGAATGGTGCGGAGGTGCAGCAGGGCAGCAGTGATGTCATATGAGCAGAGCCAATCAAGCGCCCCTGCCTAGCCCTCACTGCTACCCTCACGTTGCAGCATACTGGTAAACAGCAGGAAAAGCTGCTCCTCTTATCAGTTTCAGCATGGATCATTCTAATGCTGCTACTACCTGAGACCCCAAATATTGTTTTCGAGTAGAACAAATGCAGAAGCAGACCCAGGCTAATGCTGTTTTTAAATCATATGATTTTTTTAAAACAAGGTTTTTGAGTCAAGTAGTAGTGAATATCTCTCCTGCCATCTAGTGTACAAATCAGAGAGTATGTATTTTATAAAATGCAATTTACATGGAATCACGAAGTGTTGAATGTAGAGAGCACCTCCAGCACTACTTTCTGCTAGTCACATATTTAATACAAGGAAACAGAGAGGAAATGGACAAATTTAATCACAGAAAGTCACATCACTGAACTAACCAGCTTCAAGGAGTGTTGACAATTTGATATACTAAACTCCTGTCTGACTCTTCCAGCATTACAAAGACCTGCATAATTGGTCACTTTTCCTTAATTGCTCTACGTACTTTTCCTCCTCTTGTCTTTCAGATGTATGTAACAGTGGTCCTTTGTGGGGGAGCGTGGAAGAAGCTAAATCCTGGAACTTATCAATAGCACCTAAACTTTGGGGTGTCTGTAGTAAATATTTGCGATATAACCAGAAGGAAGGAACTGTTATGAATTCAATCCTGATCAACACCAAATGTTAAGATTTGGGGAGTTAGTCAGCCTTCCTCAACCTGGTGTCCATCAGATGCTGTTGGAACACAACTGTTATCATCCTTGGCTATTAGCCATTCTGGCTAGGACTGATGGAAGTTGTAGTCCAACAACATCTGGAGGGCATCACATTGGGGAAGTGGAGTGAGCCAGTCAGCATTTGTGCTCTCTTTATCCTCTCACAAAACAGTGCTTCCCAAACTTAAGTTTTCTCCTTAGCTAAAACAGCAGGGACTTTGTTCCACCTAACTTTCTTTTTACACCACTGTTCCTTGTCTTCTTAACACACGTTAACCTCACTCACCAGCTTGGGTGGACTTCCGCCTAGCCTTCTTAATTTCCTCTTCTGTCTTGTTGCTGAGTTTTATCTCCAACTGCTGTGTTTTCATCTCTAAATCCTTTTGCCTCTCCGATAATGCTTTTCGGGCCTTGAAACAAAAAGAAATGACCATGAATTCCTCCTCAGCAGAAAAACAATACCCATTTGCCTCCTCTTTCTCATATCCCTCCCCTCCTTTCAGAATTAATCACTGCAATATGGAACATATGCCCTTGTTGGAGGCCATGAACCTGGAACATGAACCATGAGACACAGAGATTCTTCCTCTTCTGTGTGATAGTTTTAGCACCACAGGGAAGATTAAAGGTGCTCTTCAGAGTAGTTCTTCAGATGTGGCAACTATTAAATCATTAGGAATGCTGGAGCAAACAACATTTAATAATATTAATATCTACACTATGTTCATCCGAGAAGTCAGCTACTTTGGCTTAATATAGGGCACGCTAAAAAGTTGAAGCATGAACTACATGCACTTGTTTCTTCAAACCAAAATAGATTTGGCCGGGGAAGAAACATAAGCTATCGTCGTCTGTTTCTGAAGGTGGAATTGCCAAATTATCCCTAACCTTCAGGCAGCCCACTGACCCCCTCAAATGAACTCATCTGACTGCTTTGGCTTACCTTTTCCACCGATGCATACCGGCTAACCAGCTGCTTCCTCAGATCAGCAATGTGATGGTCATACTTCTTCATGTCTTTCTTGAAGTTTTCTCGGAAGTTGAGAAGGGGTTTCTCCACCTCTGCCTGGAGCTGAAACAAAAGGCAAGGGAAATTTGGTTGAGGAAGGACTAACGGCTGATAATTGATACACCTCTATTTTGACCACAATTCTTTCAAGGTGTGTGACATAGGAAACTCCCAGTTTGCGTAGTGTGGGTGACACACTCTATTTTTATTTTTTTGTCCGTTCATTCATTCAAGTTAAATCCCACCCATCCTTCTGAAGGAGTCCATGCTGGCCATCCATAATGGAACAATTTAGAAAAAAAATTAAAAACCCAATTACAATTAAAAATATTTTCTTATCCGCAGCATCTGGTGATTCCAGGATGCCAGGAGCACTATACTTCAGACATCAATTGGAATAGTAACAGCACCGGGGAAGAAAGTATTTTTAGCCCTGTCTCCAAGTTCTGTATTCCTGATTGAAATCTCCTCCTTGAAACTGCTATTATCCCCCCTCAGAGAAAAAGACAGATGCTTGTAACAGTATTGTATTTCCCCCAACAGGACTAGCAAGTGCAGGTGGGATGGGGGTGGGGAATTCAAAAAATAAGGTGTTAAATAGCCTTTCCCCTCAGCAATGGTGTGCCAGTCAAAATGCTGCACATCCTAATTTAACAGAGAGAAAAGAGCTGGGAGATTTGACCATGCATTTCCCGGTCACATCTGTTTTGGCTCTCAAACACAACGACATCAGTACTGTCCGCAAAGCAGACCTATTCTGTCTCAACCAACTGCAGGAACGAAAAAGGCAATCAGGGGAAGGACATTTCCACCCCAAGTCATGACTTAGATGCATGTGTACTACATAACCAGCCAAACACTGACTCAGTGTATATTTCAACATGTCTGCAACAATTGAAACCATGAAGCAGGCAAAATTTGTCTGCTGTCTAATCTCTTAACAACTTGATCATGAGAAGGGCAGTTACTCAGCTGAATCAATAGTCTTGGGACTGCTGTGGATTCCTTCCAGGCACAGACTGATGAAAAAAGGTCACTTGAACTAATAGTTTTCTTTCTAAAGCAGTGCTGTGATAGCATTGAAGGTAGTTAATTTCTACCCATCCCAGATTTTCAAATTGAATACCGCCCCAGCACACATATTATGCAGTAATCACACAACCCATACACTAAACTCCACCCACATTAACTGAGCTTGCAGCCTTGAGCATTGTGATTCCAAGGAAACTGGCACATTTATCAGATGAAAATGGAAAAAAGTTATCTGCAGAACTTGTTTCTATCAGAGGATATGCACCCATTAAGTGATAATTCCACAATGTGCTAACCTATTTTTCTGCTTATTTCTAAGCTGCTAACCTTTGAATAAGGCTGTTTATTATTTTTAATCGGAAGAGCAATTCAATGATAAAAGCTTTCAAATTTCACTATTTTAATGCTTTAATCTTTCCCATGGACTTGACTCATAGGACTTGAAAAAGATTAACTTTGGCTGGTTCAAGAATGGTATTTGCCCAGATATGGAAAGAGGACGCTGTTCCAACTAAGGAAGAGTGGTTAACTAAACTGATGGATTACGCTGAAATGGCAAAATTAACAGGTGTGCTAAGAAACCAAGAGAAATTTTTATTATTATTAAGGAGTGGGGAATATTTGTGGAATATTTGAAAAATCATGGTATGCAACTAAAAGTATTGGGTAGGGTTAACTTAAATCAAGAAGTTAAAAGTATAAGTAAGATTAATTGTAGAACAATTTAAAAATGGAGTAAAGTGGAAAATACAGTGTTAAAAATTTAAATAAGAAACCACAAAAGGGGATCTGACATGTATTTGTATTGGAAGTACAAGACTGTAAGATGTGTATTTGTAAACTTTTGAAAACGGAAAACATTATAATAATAATAATAATAATAATAATAATAATAATAATAATAATAATACTTTGGCTGGTTCATGCCTAAAGTTTGCATATGGTGCTTTCTTAGGAATCAATGAAGAGACCACAGATCAATGGCAGAGGACATGCTTTGAGTGCAGAAGGTTCAAAGTTCAAACCTAGGCATCCCCACTTAAAAAAAGGATTGCAGAACAGATTATGTAACAGACCACTGCCAGCCAGAGTAAACAACAGTCTGTCCTGATGGAAAGCAGCTTCCTATCATCCAGCATTAGAGGGCCACAACAGTCATTTGCTTAAATAGCTTCTGATTTTGGGGAAAAGCAACTCACTGGGATCCTTCTGTTCCCCAGACATCTTATCCAGTTTACCCATGAAAATCCCGCAAATGCAGCTTTTATGTAAAACTGCACCCCAGTTTTCAGAAAACATGTTCTGCTGGTCTCAACCCCACACAGAAGATTCCTTATGAAGTGATTACCTTGGAGGAAAACTTGAGGTGAACCTCTGCTTCATCAGCCAGGCTTTTCTTCAGCTGAGACCAAGACTCTCCAAGCGTCCTGAAACATATGTGACGGGTAAGAAATTTACTCATTCATTAGCATCCAATTCTCATCATTACAAACGTACGTTTCTGTTAGCAGTAGCATTCCAAATACTACACATAATGGGAATAGAAGCATTTCAGAGTGCTGAACTCAAAAGACAAAAAATGTAAATTATCTTACATAATTTTTCTCTCTAGACTCATGTTCAGATTCATATTCGGGGGAAGGAAGATGAGCATAATTATTTTCAGCAAAATCTCATCCCATTTCCCCCATCCACCCCCTGGAATAAATTACGCTCACAATCCCTTAGTACTGTTTAGGCTCATAATTACCATTCATTTGAGACAAACTAGCAACTTTTCTACCTGTGCTCTTACTTGTAGTTATAATAATTCAGCAGAGGTAACTAATGACTTCTTCAGCTACTGATTCGAGTGTGTAATTTGATACTTTTTAAATACCAAAAGGGATAGCTTAACCATAAATTGAAGCATAATATGTAGAGTAGCCATAAAATGTTGATTAGATCCAGAGTGTCTCCCATCAGACTCCAATTACATTTAGGAAGGTTTTACCTAATGAGGAGCCGTTTGGATGAGTTGTTTGTTTGTTTCTTAAGCCTCAAAATGTCAAACAATTGAAATGAGCCCATGACAACACAGAGAATTGAATTAATTTTCTCAGGTGACAGAAAATAAACAATGTGATTTCTTTTAATAGCCTTTTCAAACATGTCTTCCAAACTCTTAGTAGCTCCTCCAAGCAAAGTGTCCAATAACTTGTGAGAATTAGTCTAGTGGAGGGAATAATAACATAATGGCTATCAGTTTAGGCAATGAGCTGGAAGTTTACACGAGTTTCATCACTGAAAAAGACAGGATATAAATCTAATGAATGCCAGGTGACAAAGAAAGTTAATCTGCCTTGCTACATGTCCCCCCCCCCCATATCACAAAAATTAAATAAGTTCCATAGCCACTTAAACATAAGAAATGTACAGTGTCTGAAAGCCATCTTAATACTATAGACAGACATGCTGAAATCCAAAGTATTTGTACAAGACAGGAATTATTTTGCCTACATCTCTTTTGGAACCAGGAATTGAATGCATCCAAGCAGAAACCCAATTCACTATTTGGTATGCAGGCATGCCCCATTAAAATTCCTCTTGTCCTCCAGAGTAGAAAATGAATAAACTGTGAATTCCTGCAATCAATATACTCTCCTCCAGGAGGACACAAACATTAAAAGGAACAAGAAATTTGTTAAGGGAGCAAACTAAGTTATCAGATGTTTGCGATTCAATTATACTCTGTGGCAAGAAACATCAAAGGGTCTGTAGAGACTCCTTAGATGAACAAATTTATTTAAAGGCTAACATTTATTTTGGGATATATTTTTGTAGACTAGAGTCCACCTCATCAGATGCCACGGCGAATCTAGAATAGATGGAACCGCAAAGACGTAAAATAAAATGCGAATCACATTTCTGAGTTGGAAAGGACATGTGGTCAAATCCTCATCGCAAGAAAAATGAAACGTATCAAAAGGCTGCATTATATAGGCTCATTGACTTCATTTGCAAATAACAGTAAGTCATGGTTAAAGGCTTATTTGGACTGAACAGTGTGCTAGAGCACATTGCCCAATCGCTTCCACTCCAGCTTGTCCCCTAGTGGGAGAAATAAGCCATGAAGCCTGAACCTGAGATGTGGTTTGTTTCACTCTAACAAACCATGACTACTCATCGACATAAAGCCATTGTTTGTTGTTGGCTTGCTGATCTGGTTTATTAAAGAGAAACAAAACAGAATCCCAGTTTGGACCTAACAACAAGCCAATGATTCATGGCTGGTTGTTCCCACTGGTGAGGCACAAAGCAGGAGTAATTAGGCAGTGTGCACTGCTCTGTCTCAATAAGCCATTAACTATGGCTTGCTGCTACTTGACAGCTGGCCTGCTATACAGCTGTGCTGGATTGAAACTTCCACGGAAAGAGAAGAGGTACATTTCTCTAGGATCCTTACTTTCTCTTCTAACTTCCAAATACTTAACACATTACTGAAGTATCAATACTAGACAGGATGGACCCAGGGTCCAATGTCGATCCCAGACAGAAAGCCGGAAAGAGCGGAAAAATTATTTAAGTAAAGGCACAGGTTTTATAGCTACATGGGATTTCATCCACTCACACAATGGTAAGAATATGACCTTACCCTTCTTCCTGGGCAGCCAATGAGTTTTGTGATAGTTTGGACAAGTTCTTGGCATATTCTTCCTCAATCTTTATCCTGGAGAACAGAAGAACACCAGCAGAAATATATTATTTAGAAGAACAGTATCTCACATTACAATAGATGTTTTCACACATTGTATAACTCAACTTGCAAAACCCAACAAGCTGGGTAGTCATTATTGAAAATCCTCACCGAGGTAATACAGGTCGATTCTTGTGTCTTCAACCCCAACCCCATATATCTATGATGATAGAAAGAATAGGTTGTGTGTAACAGGACAAAGCAGCTCCACCTCCCTGGTATGTGGAACCAGGTTAGACAGCTCTTTCTGACTTGTCAAAACAGCTGAATCTAGTCCAGCTCTTACCAGAAGCCAAAGCAAGATTTCAGTTTTCTTTAAGTCAAAAAATTTATTTATGATGCAAGAGGATCCACCTGCAAGAGGATCTTTCTCTGCTACTCCTCACAGTGAGATATTCCATTGCTCTACATAGCCCCTTCAATACAAAAAGCCTGATAAATAAGGTGTGATGAACAAGTAGCCCTTTGACAATCTGCTTGGTATTCCTCAGGGTCTGAATCTCCCCCTTCCAGGTCTCCTAGCCTTTCCTTGGCACCAGACACTTCTTGAGACCCCAGTTCCACCCTACTGGGATCATTCACAGACTCCTCTAGCTCCAAATCCTCAGGCTCCCCCCACTCTTCCTCCTGGCCATACCATCCCCTCCATGAAATTTCCATAGGCAAAGGCACCCCTTGCAAGAAACTCTGTTGTGCATCCAAACTCAGTGCTAAGTTGGACTGAACCCCTCATAAATTGGATTATATGTGGGGAGCTCAGTCCAGCTTGGTCTAGATGTGTGAGAGAACTCCCTGCAACAAACTCTCTAGTGCACCCAGTGCTTTTTTCACTTTTAATATTTGAAAAAGGAAGATGCCAATACTCTGTACCCTTGAGTACCTACAGAAAAAAAGCACTGAGTGCATCCAAGGTTTCTCAGTTTGGCTGCTCTTTGAAGTGCCAAAGTCAGGGCTTCAAAGCACCTCACAAACAGCAAGGAACTGCTAAAAGGAAGGCTTTTTTTCTGACTTCAGGACTTCAAAGCACCAAAACACTTGACGTCATTTGTTACATTATGTGACTGACAGGTGGGCAGCCCCATCCACCTTTCAAGGCAGAGGCTGATGCAGCTCTGGTCTGTGGAGCCACTATACTAAAATCGTATCTATTTGAAATACCTTCACACACCCCTCAAAAAAAACCCCAACACTGTGGGGAGCAGTGAATAGTCTCCCAAGCAGGGGGTCAAATACACCCATAGAAAAGACAAAAAGACAGGTGCATAAACTGCTATTGTGTGTTTTTTTAAAACAACAACATCAACCAATCCAAACCAAACCAAACATCTCAGTGTCAAGCAAAAACAGAGTTATACTATTTGATAAAAACTGCGGGGTGGGGTGGGGACTTTCATGCTGCAGCACATCAAAGGGTCTTTTCCAAGTTTCCCCCTTGATAAAGACATTTTCCAAGAAGAGGTGAGAACGATATCAATCTATATAAACTCCTGTTTCTTTTGTAAAGCTGTGAATGGCCTCTGCTCTCCCATTTCCATGGAAGACATGCAATATGGCTATGTAATGTATTTATGGACACATATTTATATATTTGCCATTTTGTGCCAAAGGTTACTTTCTGTGCTCAAGAGCTGTGTGGATTTGTTGATGATCTATACTCTGTCAAAAGGATTCCCACTTGTCCTTATGCTTAAGATTTTCCACTGGCACAAGATAAAGTTTTCCTACCAATTCACCACTGTCCAATTGAAATGGGTAATGGTAGTGGCGCCTTCATTGTCCTCTGACCAGGCAAAGTCCACTCTTGGAACACAGTGTTCCAGTTCTCCATTGCAAGCCATAGAGAAGTAAATCTCCATCCTATTATTATTATTCGGAAAGCTATTTATAACAGTGCTCTTTTTCTTCTAAGAGTAGTTATAAATAATGAGCAGCTATAAATAATAACTGTTTATCTTTCTCTCTCGCGCCTTCTCCTTTCATGTCCTGCATATATTTTGAGTTATTTAAACTATGTTCTAGCAGAGCAGAGGCAGACCGGATGGGGTGAGGAAAGATCCCCACCCCCAGATGTGCTAAAGTCACTGAAGATCGTGAAGTAGAGAGAACTCAAGAGGATTTGTACTTCTATGATTCCTAAGTCTCTACAGTGAAGATTAAAATGGACCCTTAGTGAATACAGGGATTGTACTAATATCAAACAATATGAAAAAATTAAATGCCTTGCTAGGTTGCAACCAGAATTTCTTAAATCCAACAACCCAGCTTTATGATTTCTGGAGACACAGGGATGAAAATAGAGATCCTGTGAGCATTTTTTGTTTGTTTGTTTACAGGACAATCCTGCAGAAAAATACTAGGGGAGGTCATTTTTGCTCATCCCCCCTTCCCAATACAGCCCTTGTGAACTCTGAAAATCCATTCTAGAGGGTAGGTGGACTTTCTGGAATAGCATGAAAGGGGTCCCAGGTGTGTGTATATAGGGATATTTATTTATTTTTTTAAAAAAATCACCTCCCCACCTTCTGCAACCAAAGACTTCACTGGATCTAAGATCCTTCTCTCAAGTCCTTCCATTTAAGAAGAGCAACTCCGGGTATATATACAAATGTTATAAAGAGCAGCTCTGGGCATATAGATGTTGCTCCTCCATTCATGTATGATAAGGGACTTCTACTGTCTCCCTATTCCATTTGCAACATTTCCCACACCATTTCCAATCACCAGGAGCAGGTTTTTGATAGGTACAGGCTGCAGAAGATGTAAAAGTCCCATTCCATGAGGGTGAATTCTGTTCCTTTCACAGAAGGAAAGATAGGATCCAAGCTATAGAACTGTATGGCTGGGAAACTGGATCAGACACATCAACTGACCCTTCTGGAATTAGTTGCCAGCTGAAATTAGGCACCTACTTGATGTGTGGGTGGCTATTACTGCCTTCTTATTTAATAAGATTTCCTTGAAGTGTGACCCAGTCATTTACTGGAACATTTACTGGAATATTGACTGGAATATTGTTTTTAATACTAATAATAAAATAAAATTGTATTTATATCCCGCCCTCCCCAGCCGAAGAAGGGCTCAGAGTGGCTAACAACAGTAAAAGTAAACACAGCATTCTAAAATCAATTCATTCTAAAATCAATTCAGAATCAAATTACCGTAATGGCAACCATTGGGCTAGAGTTCTAAGAGGATTACCAAAGGAGGGGGTCAGGCTGTGCCTTGGTCAAAGGCCTGGTGGAACAGTTCTGTCTTGCAGGCCCTGCGGAAAGATGTCAAGTCCCACAGGGCCCTAGTCTCTTGTGACAGAGTGTTCCACCAGATCGGGACCACAGCCGAAAAAGCCCTGGCTCTGGTTGAGGCCAGCCTAACCTCCCTGTGGCCTGGGACCTCCAAGATGTTTTTGTTCGAAGACCCTAAGGTCCTCCGTGGGACATACCAGGAGAGGCAGTCCCATAGGTATGAGGGTCCTAGGCTGTATAGGGCTTTAAAGGTTAAAACCAGCACCTTAAACCTGATCCTGTACTCCACCGGGAGCCAGTGCAGCTGGTATAGCACCTGGTGAATGTGATCCCGCAGCGAGGACCCTGTAAGGAGTCTCGCCACGGCATTCTGCACCTGCTGGAGTTTCTGGGTCAGTCTCAAGGGCAGCCCCACGTAGAGTGAGTTACAATAATCCAGTCTTGAGGTGACCGTCGCTTGGATCACAGCGGCTAGGTCAGGGTGAGAGAGGTAAGGAGCCAACTGCTTAGCTTGGCGGAGATGAAAAAATGCCGCCTTTGTTCTAGCTGCAATCTGCGCCTCCATGGAAAGGGAGGTGTCGAAGATTACACCCAAACTCTTAACGGATGGTGCTGGCACTAATTGCGCCAGACTCAGTATCTTTGGTATTGTATCCCATATTACCTTAATGTACATCACTTCAATAGCTTCTTACTGTTCATGAATTTATAAAAATAACAGCTGCAGCCACTGAATATTTCAAACCATCTTATTGAGAAATACACACTAACTCACTTGACTTATTTTGAACCACCTATGACAGATATACCGTAAGCATGAAGTGTTGTTGCTGCCATGGTGACACAAGCTTGTGGCCAAGTGTTGGGCAGAGGTGCATGTCAGAAAGCATGAGAAGGAGGGCAGGTAACTCTACAGGCATACAGCATCTTCTCTGTGTGAACCACAACATCTAGAGCAGATATCATATACTATTTTACCATGAATTTCACAAAAATGAATGTATGTGTTTCTAAAACTGAGCATTTCTACGGTGCTAACATAGCCACAAATTGCTGAATTTGGCCCAGAACCCCATACAAAATGCCAATTGAAAAACTTGTTAGCTGTCGATCCTTTTGCTGAATATAACTGCCGTGTGTTCACGTTTGGATAAACCATTTTTGCAAAGCTTTAGATAAATGAGCTTATGAAAGTGAGAATAAGACACTGCTGGTAGTCTGTAGGAATATAAAGTAGTCAAGACAGAACAGGCCAAGGAACCCATCCATGCTAGTATTCTCCTTCCAAATTGTCAAGATCGGGTGTGCTTAAGTAAAAGCAAGTTATTTACTAAGGGACTAACGGAAGCAGGTGTCTCACTAATGGAGACAGAAACCAATGAAAGAAGGAGTTAATTTCCAAGTTACCTTTCCCGAATAAATTCCGCCATCTCTTTTTGCATTTGCTTTCCTTTCAGTTGTTTCTGAAGAAGAATTTCAAATCCCGAGACGGTGCTGTTTCCTTGAGGATCCTTCTTATCAGTCTAAAGGAAACGTGCAGTTAGAATATATGCCACACTAGAGGCGTCAGAAGATGTGCCAAAGCACTTAGCAGCTCCGGCACGCAGCAGATATCGGAAAGTGGGCTAAGAATTACCTCAAACGCCCCCAAGTCACAAGCTGGCAATTCTATTCAGGATATTTTTGCCTAATGCAACAAATACAACAGCTGCTAGCGGAGCTTCAAAGACGACTTCAATAGAGCTAGCAGAATTTCCAGCAAATACCAGATTATTGCCACTAGGGGCTGCTCTGGCATATATGAAACAGGTAGTTAAACAGCAGCAGATTCTGTGTTAATAGGAATTGACAGTATTAATATAAGGGAGAAAACAACCCATGCTTGTGGCAGGGACAAATGACCAAGGTCAGAACTAGCCACATCTTTTTTTTTTTACAAACTGGCATATAGGCTTCTCTTCCCCAGACTCTTATTCAGAATACCTCCTGGCACATCAGGGCCTACCACACAAGCCTTGCTCCCTGGACAGTTCCTACCTCTTTTCTATCCACTCACCCCCTCCCCCGCTTATTTGTTGTTTCCCTACTGCTTCTTTATCCCTGCAAGGCAATATTGCACAGTGGGTGCTGCAAGATTTGCATTTCTGTCAACCTCTAGTTGTGCAAGAGAATTCTGATGCTGTACATCTAACGTTTTGCATGCACTTGGAAATATCACATGAAATGTAAAAGAGAAAACAAAATGGTTCCTCGGATGCATGGAACTCAATTGAACTCCCCTCTGCCCTCATTCTTTGTGAAGACAACCACTTTTTTTTAATCAAGAAAGTCTAAATCATCTAATTTTATTGTTTACAAAAAAAAATAATACACCTGCCCCTCAACCCACATATATTCTGGGTGTAGGAAAACTACATCCTACCCTTATATAATATTTTCAAACTCCCCTTTCCCTTTCAACCATTTGTGTCTGAATGAAGCAAATCATGTTGCAGCCAAATTATGCTAAGCACTTATTACAGAACAGGGCTCCAGTCCAATTGGGTTGTGGGTTCTCGGGTGATGATTACTCATGAGTTTTGTCCAGTGTAAGTAGTTTGGCCATCTTGTTCCTTATACTATTCTCCTCTAAAGTTATCATTACATTTGAAGTTGCAGGGAATTCTCTGATTTCTCTAAAACTCATCCACTCCAATTTTTTTACAAAAGTTAAAGGATGTGTATACTGTAATCCAAAACTAAAGTCCATACTCAGATAATTTATTACCACCTTATTACTATCCAGCTCTCCAGGCCAACCAATCAACAATCAGCTTATTAAGAGAGCTCATACCAGCATCCTGGGGACCCCAGACCCCTTTCTGGAAAGGTCTTGCTACTTAAGATAAGAAAGGGAAATAACGGCTACATCAGGCATCGGCCCTCCAGATGTTTTGAGACTACAAATCCCATCATCCTTGACTACTGGTCCTGTTCGCTAGGGATGATGGGAGTTGTAGTCCCAAAACATCTGGAGGGCCGAGTTTGCCTATGCCTGGGCTACACTTTAACACGATGCATTTGTAGAGGACCAGATGGGATGGCAGCAAATCAGGAAGATGGTGCTTGAGCACATACATGCTTGTCCAGATTTGTATGATGCTGGCTTCCGGGGTTACAAGCCCCAGAATATGACTCAACATAGGAGCCCATTGTAGTCACCCGGTCTTGTGTAATATGGCTGCAATGCAATTAGATTGTGGAGGTGGGGAAACAACTTCTCCAACATCTTATGCACCTCCTTCCAAGCTTGGATTTTAACCATGTTTGCCAACAGAGATTTTAGCAATATGCTACGTACTGTATGAATCCCGGTTGCTGCAGTAAAGAGCATATGGGTGGCTGCTCACTTACCCAGAAATAATCGCAGTAGCTCCATTCAGAAGGTTTCAGCAACTGCTGCTCTGGCATTGCGTCAGGGTGGGGGAACGTCACACAGTTTATCTGACAAAAAGGAAAGAGGAATACATTGGACGTGCAAAGCAGTTCAGGAACATGGATGCATGTAAACAAAAGCTGCATAAATGCAACACAGCTGGCTTAGGTTCTTGCTGAATGTAATGCTCGCTTTAACCAGGAGATGTCACAGAACGCAGATGTAAGAGATTTTGTGTGGTTGAAAGTCGCTGCAATATCTAGGAAGCAGACTCTAAGCAAAACAGGATCTCTGATCATCAAACCCTGCATGCCTGCTTCTTTTATTTAAAAGAAGAGGGAGGATAAAACTAAGAATGTGCAGTACTTATTGTAAGACTAAAAACGCAATCCTAGCTATGTCTACCTGGACTTACTTCTAAGCCCAAGTCCAAGCATGCATTGAATCCAATGGGGTTTATGGTCAGGGAAGTAGGGCTAGGATTGCGGTTTAAATCTTACTACCCTCAAAATTGTTTGGATGTTCCTTCTTAAACAGGAACCTTCATGTTTGCCTTGCAATTTCACTTTAGTGATGAAATTCAAAAGGCAACAACTTCACTAAAAATGTTTGCCTCTGTGGAAATTCCTCAAATGTTTCACCCAAACAGGAACCTCCATGTTTGCCTTATCATTTCACTTTTTGGTGAAATCTAGTAGCAGCTCTAGGTAAAACCATTTCTAACTTGGACCGGATGTCATTAAATGAGTTAAAGCTGCCTAAGGGATCTTACAAATGGAAAACCAAATTTTACACAACAGCCTATGCCAGAAGTACACAGAAAGTCCCAGTGAAGCTAATGGACACAATGGAGAGAAAACCAGATTAATAATAAAATCGTTAGACTAATATTCAGATGTTGCACTTCAATGCATATTTTTTAAAAAGCGCAACTGAAAATTATTCCTCTCTGGATCCATAATTCACTAATTTAATTCATGAAGCCTGACAGAAAGCATTTATTTAAATTTATAATCCACCCAACTGCTTCATCTTGGGACAAGAAACAGATACTATAGTGCATGCCAAAATGCAAAGTTCTCAACGGTTTAGAGAGATTAGTGGGCTTGAGCTTTGATGAAGCTTCCTAGTTAGAGAACGACCAAAAAGACCTCCTTAAATGCCCTTACTGTGTTGTTGACAGTGTACTTGACAAACAGAAAGCACTATCAAGAAGCTATAGGGGACATTTAAAATATAATCTGCAAGCACTCACAAAAATTGGGAGGGAAAGGATGATCAAGTTATTGCGTACAATTATTTTAAGCTATGAATCTCTTGGCCCTGTAAGGGGACTTGTGACATGTGTGTGTGATTCTCCTAATAACACCAGGACAATATCAAGGATGTACAGGTGACTATCTCCTTATTGCTATGGTGGCACTAAACCCAGTCCTGTTGTGGGGTACCTTGATAACCCCACTCATTGAAGAAGAAAAAGAGGGGAAGCCTTGTTCAAATGTCACCGTTTTCCTGCCAGGGGAGAGGAAGAGCCTGCTTCTCTCTTTTTGAAACAAAGATGCTGGCTCTAGTGCTGGAGATGGATGGGGAAAGAACACACAGTTCAAAGAAAAATGTGTTTTTAACTAAATGTTCTCAGAAATGTGGAGGAGAGGTTAGACTTGCCTCCTTTCTGTAGAACCACACAACGGCTTGGGTGGATGAGCAAACATACTTCCATATATATAAGAAAAACATTTTTTTTAAAATAATAATAATAAACTTTTTAAATACACCCATGCAAGAAATATTAATACAAGCAGAAGGCAGGGGGCTGCACATGCCATCCCAGTCCCAATAATCACCCCATGCACTGGCCACATCTTCACCGTTTCCAATTGTTCCATGCAGAGTGAAGAAGGTATAAAGGGGGCTATTTGCATGCGTTCGCCTGAACTGTGCCACATGTTCAAGTGAACACCGATGGAACACGCCATTCCCAACCAAAACAGTACGGCCAAGGACATGGTAAGGCAGGGAAGGGGACACTGTGCGTGGGGACGCTGTGCACAGCCCCATGTCACCTACTTGTGTTAATAGGCTCAATTGCCCAGACAAAGCTATCCAGATTAGGGGCATGTGTGAACTTGCAATAGGCACTGCCCAACAGACAACTGGGACAGTCAAAGGTACAGTGGTACCTTGGGTTACAAACACCTTGGGTTACAGACTCCGCTAACCCGGAAGTAGTACCTCGGGTTAAGAACTTTACCTCAGGATGAGAACAAAAATTGTGCGTCGGTGGTGGTGCAGCAGCAGCGGGAGGCCCCATTAGCTAAAGTGGTATCTCAGGTTAAGAACAGTTTCAGGTTAAGAACGGACCTCTGGAATGAATTAAGTTTGTAACCAGAGGTACCACTGTATATCTTTTCTGTTGCAGCTGTGCTGACAATGCATTTGGCTTTGTTTCACTTTTCCAGGGTATAGCTTGAAACACTACAAAATACCTATAAATTGGGTTGACCCGATAGCCGGAAAGAACACATGCACAAAGAAGTCAAGGCGTCCAGCAGTCAAAGGTGATTCTGTAATATGAAGACTGAAAAACCATTGAGCTGGTTCACACAATCATATATCGGTTTAATAAACCAAGATATGAATGAGCCTTTTCCTCCTTTCTTGCCCCTCCCTCTGGTACAAGCTATAATTAAATGAGGAAGCTTCTAACTAACTACAGTTTCCTGTTAAGTCTGAACCAGGAAAACCTTGGAACAAGCCAGGATATTAAACAAACTTCAATTCATAGTTGAATACCCTGGCTTGTTCTGATGCTAGAAACCAGAGTTTCCCAGAATGAATAAAACCAAAAACTAAGTTTAGAGACTTCCTGGTTTGTATTGTGGCTCATTGAAAAGGAACAAAGGTGCTGGGTGTGTGGGCAAGAGGCTTGCTCATAACTTGGCTTCCTTAGGTAGAGATATGATCATCCATAAGTGGCCAAAAATTGGTCACAACCTGAATAGGAACACCACAGGAATAGAAGTGTCCTTGCTGGTAATGCTAACAAGAGAGTGCACTGGAGTTGCTCTTATTAAATGGCAACAAGCAGAATTTTTATTTTATTTTTTGGCAGGGAGGAAAATGAACATCCATGAAAACTGGAATGGTAACACAAAAGAAAGAGTGTTTCATTCAAGTCGTAGGATGGGATCACAGAAGTTATGAGACACTGGAATGCAAAGAACCACATCCAACATATGTAACTCTAAGCCTCTCATGAGGTTGTCAATTGCCAGAAAGGTCAAGTTGCTTCATTTTCAGCAGAGAGGGTTTTTAAATATATATTTTAGCACCTGAAGGGTGTCGCTGCATGTTGGATTATCACTTGCCTACAACATGGTTTGGAGACATTTCCAGATGTTTCGAATTTCTGCTAAAACTTCTTAACAGAGTATTTCCACTGGATGTGACCAAGTTTTAAGAGCACAATTTCTCATCCAAACTGCTGTAGGAGAAAATGCCACACTGGGAGTGTATATGTGAGACAGATCTTTAAGTCCTGTGTGCTACAGCAGAGAAAACTGGAAGAGGAACAAGGAGCATTTATGTCACAGGAAGAAGCTAGGTAATTTTTAGACCTCAGACTTAATGGTCTTACATGCCTATCTTTTTAGATCAGTGTCTCTCAAACTTGAGTCACCAGCTATTGTTGGACTACAGCTCTCATCATCCCACTGGCTCTGCTAGCTAGGGATGATGGGAGTTGTAGTCCAACAACAGCTGGGAACCCAATTTTGAGAAAAATTACTTCAGTTGTGAAACACAATCAACATTTCTCCTCTCTCACCCACTATCCCCAGAAAGCTAGTAACTTCTGTATATTACCCATGAGAAAAATGGCTGTGTTCACACATAGTTTGGTGAAACAGGAATGAGCCTCTCAAGCTTATGACTACTCCTATGTGCTGTGAAGGACTTTTGACTGAGGTTTATTGACAAGGTTTATTGACAAACAACAGTTTGCCTCGGTGTCAGAAAAGTCAAATGACTGATTGTGCTGTCCTGCAAATCTGGTAATCCCGCTTTACTGGAAGCACAAACCATAATTTGGCATTTCCAACACTGAGACCAACTTTGGTTGGCCTCTAAACTACAGACAGAAGTCCTAGACTGTGATGCGCAGGGGGCAGACAGAGGAGGAGGAGGCGAGAAGTGAACCAAGCAGTCCTTGAAGTTTGGCATTATGTGTGAATTCAGTCAGCTGAAAAGGGCACTTCATAACATATTTCTCAGAAGAAAGATGCAGCTCCAGTTGGCTAGAGCATGGGGCTGGGGTCGTGGGTTCAATCCCCATATGGACTGCCTGCATTTTCCTGCATTCCAGGGGCTTGGACTAGATGACCCCTGGGGTCCCATTCCAACTCTACAATGCTATGATTCTAAGCGAACTCTTTGTGACATCCAACAGAAATCCCTTCTCAAAAATCAAGTGCTGGGCTTGAGGAAAAGAGTGGGAGAGAACCTGTGGTGCGGTACGTGCATGTATGTGTTCTTTGCTGCCTCTCCTGGTCAAGCTCAGTGGCATGGTTCTGCCAAAAAATAATTTCACTGTGGTCGGGACACTGCATGGCAGATGCAACATTTGAATCCATTTGCCACTTGGATGAGATGGGCCATATAGAAAAACACCTGCACCACTGTTGCTGACCCCCAAGGAGGTACAATATTAATGCAGATACTCAGAACCATGATACAGACGACCCACTTATGAGGCTGATTCCAAATATTACTGTAGCCTCAAAGAGCTTCAAAAAACACAGTAATGATTCTTGACAAAGCCATTCACAAAGAGCAATATTTTTTATTTTATCCTGCCTTTCCTCCAAGGTGCTCACAACAACCCCATGAGTTCGGTCAGGCTGAGAGTCGGTGGGTGGCCCAGCACTGTCCAGTGAATTTCATGGCTTAGTGGGGATTTGAACCCCGGTCTCCCAAGTCACAGTACAACACTTTAACCCAGGGGTGCCTAACCGGGGCACCACAATGGATTGAATCATCCCTAACTCCAGCTGCAATGTAATTGTGCCTTAGGATTAAGGTAATCACCCCTTTCAGCCTTCAATTTCGTTACTACATGTATGGCAGCTGAGCAGTAGTGATAAAACACACTGCTTCCGTTTCTTCAACTGCCTCTGACTGAATGGGGTTATCCCCACAGCTAGGTCTTCTTTACACAGCTAGTTGTTCTACAGTAACACCCCCTGGAGCCCCTTTAAGTTCTGGGTTTTGTTTTGTTTCATGTTGATGGGGTGAAGTACGGAGCGAAAAATGTCGAAACAGCCCCAGACACCCCTCACAAGATCTGAGGTTGCTGCTTTACGTCCCTTTCAACTCAGAATAAGTGTAAGCCATTAAGAGAGTGCATTATTTCTTGCGATCCACTCCATAAAGTGCAAAATCCGGGGGGGGGGGGGGAACCTGCTTGAAGTCCAACACCCATACCAAATAAGCAGTTTTTGCTTGTGTTTTCTCTCTCGTTTTAGAGAACCCAAACCGTGAAAGGGGGAGGCAGAGGAAACACTGATGAAACATTCAAACTAAATTTCAAACCTGGGAAAACTGAGTGGCAGCACCAAACATCAATCCTGTCACAAAGAAAACAGCACTGACACTAATCACCACCTCATATTCTAGTCCCCCTAATGTTCCCTCCACCACCACTCCCGGTGCTCTAATTCACACTGAGATGTGTCATGTTGTTTCAACAAATTCCTTTCCACTGCTGTAGCTAGCAAAAGAGCGAACCTCACACTTCCACAGGGAAATGTCCCCCACCCCCCGCTCTCTCTCTTAAATCATTGCAATCAAATCAAATATTTTGTTAACCATGGAGCCCGGATGGCTGGGCCAGGTTTCTGAGCAATAATGGATAAGTTTCTGGACTTAAAGAGTCAAAAGAGGTTTGCCAGGATTCAAAGGCTTGCATCTCATCCTCTCCTACTGAGAAATATCTAGCATGTTCGCTACCTCAGCCAAAGTGCATACTACGACAACTTCACGGGGCATCTTTTCAAAAAATATTCTTCTTCTTTCTATGGATCTTTAGCCCCTTCAGTCATCCATCAAAGCTGCAAAGGAAGCCAGCCTTGGGGGGGGGGACCCTCACTGTCAACTTTTTATCATTGTGTGTGCTGCCCACAGGAACACTCCATTCTTAAGATGACTTCATTGGCTATTAATTGCTCGATCTACCCAGAAGCAACTTTGAACAAAAGGAAACACTGCTGCAACTATAATTTAAAAATCACAGCAGAAAGAAGTGCCCCCACCCTCTCCTTTTGCTTTCTGACATTTCTTTCCTGTCTCTCTTTAACAGGCTCTCTGCTAGCTCCAGCCTTTTAAAAATGGCTTCAATGCAGCTACTGCTGTGGAAAGCAGGCACCGTGTTTACATCTGGAAAACATGAGGCAGACCCTTTCACACGGATTCAACACACCAACACATACACAGACGGACTGACGGTTCTCCTGCCCTGCAATGCTACTTGCTCTGGTGACTAGATCACCATAGCAACTGGACTGGTGATCATCACGGTGGGATTCTACTTACCGTGAACGTGGTCTCCTTGTTCTGCTTTCGAGTAGGTGAGGGGGACCCAGGACTCTGAGGAGAGAGGCAAGAGGCATCGTCAAAACTGCACTCCACATCCGACATGGTATGTATTCTGAGTTACTGGAAGGTGTATGTGTGTGTTTGTGTGTGTGTGTGTGTGGGAAGCAGGGGTGCTCAGTGCTTTGTGCAAGCCAAATTGGAGGAGATTCCCTTTCTGCCTTGCTTTCTGGCTTAGCCTCTTTCCATGCCCCAGAGGTGTCACAGTTCAACTCTTGCATGGGAGACTCCTGCACTGTGCTCACGAAGCAGCACACGAGCTCTGTACAGCCAGATAATTCATCCGAAACACGGCGACACCTCCCCTTCCAATCAGTGCCTAGCTTTGGAATTAACTCTTCCACTGCGTGCCAACTCTGAAGCAGGGCTCTTTAGCTACTGTGCCTAAAAGAGTTATTTGAAGCTCTGCTTTACGTTTCGCATGCTGTTCAGCTGCTGTACACAAAGGCTTCCTTTGCTGTTAGGTTCATATCGCAACTGCACACACATCTCATCTGCTCGCCTCAATGCCCCCCCCTCACTCCAGCTTTAAAAGCCGGGACTCAAGAAGCAAGGTGATGAGGAAGTCTCTGCAGTGTTGTTGCTAACACACTGCAGGCATCCCCAAGGCTTCCTTCTGCCTCCATCTGCAAATTAGCAAAAGCATCAAAACAACACAACAAAAAAACCCACCTGCATCAGACTGATAGTGAATGGGAATGACCCCAAAGCAGAAGTATAGTGCACATGGAGTCAGCAGCCACCTATTTTAAAGTGTTTGTTTGGCATGCCATTCTGTCTGAGGCTACCGTGCAACAGTTAACAACATGATGGAACATGTCCTGCTTCACCATTCATTGTAACCTTATTGCTTTTATTTATGGGGGTTTTGTCCTTCGTAGTCCTTACCAGGGTTATCTCTCACAAAGAAATATTTATGCCACACTGGCCAGTTTTACACAGAGTAACAAAAAAGTACCACAAGGACAAACATAGCACAACAACTTTATTCTAGGAAGAAGACTGCCCTAACACTCTCTGATAGAGAACAGTCCCCCCCCCCCCGCATGTGTCCTTAATTTTTATGTGCAAAACTCCAAAGATCTAGAAATGCCACAATTTCTTTAGGCACCATTTTCTACCAGCTATGACATCTCTCCCAGAAACCAGTCTATACAGTGGTACCTCGGGTTACATACGCTTCAGGTTACATGCGCTTCAGGTTACAGATGCTGCTAACCCAGAAATAGTGCTTCAGGTTAAGAACTTTGCTTCAGGATAAGAACAGAAATAGTGCTCTGGCGACACGGCGGCAGCAGGAGGCCCCATTGGCTAAAGTGGTGCTTCAGGTTAAGAACAGTTTCAGGTTAAGAACGGACCTCCGGAACGAATTAAGTACTTAACCCAAGGTACCACTGTATGTGCTATGGTGCAATTTGAACACAAGCCTTCTTGCCTTTCTCTTTATGTCCCCCCCAGACAGCTACTATTGTTCTTTAAAATATCCTCCCATATGTGAAACGGAATCCTTCAATACCCCTCAAAGGAAGCTTCTTGCTGATCCAGAATCTGAAAATGAGTCCATTTCCCTCAGATGTTCTAATCTCATGCTGACAAGGCAAGTAAATAAATTTTTAAATATCCCTCTTTGTTAGCAATAGTTGCCCACGCATAGCAGGAAAAAAGTATGCCCCAAACAGCAGATTGGCATTGGTCCAGCCGCAAAAGGAGAGCTGACGCTAGCACCTGCGGAAAGAAGAACTGTGTAATGAAGAACTCTAAATCACCATCCCCTCTCCAAAATAAATGATGCTGCTTCTAACTCCCCTGATCATTAAGGGGGGAAATATGTTATGGAGTTCCCCTCTACAATGCACTTTCATAATAAACTGCTAGACACAGTAGCAAATCTTAAGTCCTTGAGCTTCCAAACACTCAAGTTTTCTTGGTTAACACTGGCACACCTTAAATTATTTCAACTTTCCTGCATTTTTGGTCTCACTCAGCTCCATGCTTTCCAGGGGGCCCAGTAGGTTCCCCACTGATCACTCTACAACCAATACAAGAGCACTCACCTGTGTTGTAAGCTGCTGATTCATTTACGGGCCTATTTCCCAACAACTGCTGAAGCAGCCAATTATGAACCTGCAAAGCCATTAGGTCAGAGAGTAGCTGTTCCCTGGACCCACCAGCCATGCCCTCAAGTAAGACTAGAAAAGATCAGTAGGATCTTAAACCTACAAAGATACTCTTGGTCCAGTATCCAAAACAGATCACCACCCAGAGTACTACAAAGAAGCAGCAGCACAGGTCAAGGTGGATTCATGCAAGAATCACCTACAGATCAAGGTCCAAGAGTTTCCAAAGTGAGATATGCAACGCTACAGGAGATGTGTTGTATACTCTCGCTTAGGAAAGGCAGAGGTGAATTACTTCCTCAACTACCTCTGCCTCTCTTCATAAAGACACTACTGTGTGATAACAAACTACTCACAGGGGCGAAGGAGAACAACTTTGCCAACAATTTAGAGCTGGCTTCTCAGCCTCAGAGAGAGCAAGGGAGGAAGAGAAGATTTCAGAAGATCACTCTCTTGGTGTGCCCACTCCAGCCATATGCTTATTTTAGAGGCAGTGAAGACATGATGCAAAATCTAGTTTTATTCTTCGCCTCTTTCCTGGTGGCATCATTAAGGGGAGGAAGTGAGGGGAATGAGCAGGGAAGAAGAAGAGGGAAAAAGCACCCACAGAGTCTACAAGGTCCTCAGAGCTTTTAAAACCAAGTTTTCCGTGTTCTCAGATATGACCTGCTTGACTCAAGCAGGGCTCAGTGAACTGAAAGCAGAAACATTTTCCGAACTATGGTCACGTAACAAATAATTGTCTTATCAATGCACACTTTCTCCTCTGACATTTTGCAACACTTTTTAGTCAGCCCTTAAGAGGTTTTCTTTTGTGTGAACTACTCTCACACATGCACGTACACCTCACCCATAGGAACACATGAAGCTGCCTTATAGAGAAGAAGAAGAAGAGTTTGGAATTGATATCCCGCTTTATCACTACCCGAAGAAGTCTCAAAGCGGCTAACATTCTCCTTTCCCTTCCTTTCCCACAACAAACACTCTGTGAGGTGAGTGGGGCTGAGAGAAGTGTGACTAGCCCAAGGTCACCCAGCAGCTGCATGTGGAGGAGCGGAGACGCTAACCCAGTTCCCCAGATTACGAGTCTACAGCTCTTAACCACTACACCACACTGGCTCTCACACCTCTAGAGAGTCACACCTCTAGGTCATCTAGATTCTAGCTCACTACTGTCTTCACTAACCAGCAGCTGCTGTCCAGGATTCTGGTAGGGGGTCTTTCCCCCAACCCTACCCAGAGATGCTGGGAATTGAACCTGGGGCCATCTGAATGCAGAGCAGATGCCCTACCGTTGAGCTATGGCCCTTCCCCACTGAATGGCTAGTTCAATGACTTCATGGCAGTGGCTCCAGTATTGGGTTTCTACAGGGAAGGTGCTGGTTCTAATCTCTGCTCAGCTACATTCCTCCCTGGGTCGTCTTGAGAAAGTCACTATCTTGTCTTCCCAGCCCCCCTGCACAGAGCTGCTGTGCACGTGCTCATTTTTATTCAAATCTCAGGAGGATGGGTGGGATAAAAACAAAATAAATGTTATGAGCTGCAAACACAGCTGGAACATATTGCGCTGAAATGATGTCAGCAGATATGAAAGTGCCGTTTGATCTGCGGTGGCTGTTTGCACAATACAAGAAAGTACTTGATATTACAGTCATCAAGCGATGAACAGAAATGTGTGAGTCCCTGCCCAGGAACATTTTTTAATCATCGTTAATGTAGAATAAGATTGAAGAAAGCTGGTCTTCGTTTTTTTAAAACAACAACAACCCAGACTTAATGTGGCTTTTCAAACTGAATGTACAGATACAGGAAATGCAAAAAATCAGTGAGGGGTGGGGGTGGGGAGGAGAAATGCAAAAATCAATTTTAGCATCATTTGCGAAATTGGCCTACGTGATTCCTTAAAGCACAGAGAACTGGGAGAAAGCAATATTCTATGAGTAGCAGTATGCTTTGCCTCACAGCTATACTATGACTATTATAAACTTATTTACAGAACAGAAACTGAGGCTTGAAACAGCAACTTGCCAAAGCCCTTTTGTGAGCTCATGGCTTTAAATGACCAGATTTATTTAATCTTAAATAGTTGTTGGAAGCTACAATGAACAGTAGCTTGTACTTTAGAAATGCTGTTTGCTAAGGTAAATCCCTAGATTTTCTTAGACAGCGGAAAAGCATCAGTAACCAAGAGTGCTTACAGATGGTGACAATTAAGCAGTATGCAAGCAGTGCTGTTCTGCTTTAAGCTGTAGGTGGAACAGCAATGTCTGGAATCCAAATAACATTCTATAGCCACTCCTTCCCCAACCCCAAATCTTGTGTGTAGCAATTTTCATTGGGACCATTGTGTGGGATGCACTGCAAGTTGGGATGTGCAGGGTTGTGGAGAGAGGAAAGGAATACAAAAGCAATGCTATTTGAGAAGGGGACAGTTAAAGTGATAGAGCTGATTCCGAGAGAGATGAGACAGACTATAGAGAAGGAAATTGCTAGAACAAAATCTATGAAGGCCGTAACTGGCCTGTATAAGCAAGAACAGTTGTGTGATGGATCACCTACATGGGGTATGTTGCACAGTGCTTGCATTGTGATAAAACCCCCCAAACAAATAAAAACCAGATTTTTCTGAGTTCTTTAAAAAAACAACCCCCCCAAAACAGAAGCTGAATAGAGAAAAGTTGGGAGGAGGACGTTTGATCACTATGTTATGCAGACATCCCATAAACAGTGAGTGAACAAAGCATGGTTGTTCCACAATAAGTGACCAGTGTGGAAGCACACCAAATTACATAACAGGCTTTAATGCAGACTTCAATAATATAGTAATAATGGCAAGAGGGGTAGAGCTATACAGATATTCAGCATATCTGAATTGAGTGGAAAAAACATAAAGCTCTAGAATGTTTGTGACCTAAGATTTAACTCACATATTTCTGCAAAAAAACCAAAAAACCTGCCCCCAAAAAACCAAACTTCTAACAAGTTGGTGATTTTTTCTCCAGTACTGTAGTGGGTAAAGGAGACTTTGAGACAGCGCGGAATGCATTGCTATGAAATATAGCTGTAATCTTCCAAGATTTAGGAAAGAATGCATGGATAATAAAAATCATCTTGATTATAGTGTCTCATGCTACAATAGCAAGAGGATGCTCACTTAAACAGCTGCAAGAAGTGCAACAAATTCCCATTCAATGTTGACAAAAAAGAAAGCACGTTGGGTACCTAGCCCGAAAAACTCCATACTACAAAATGATCATAGATGGCTAAAGTTGAGAAAGATCAATAAGAGCTTCCAGTGATAAAAATAGAAGGGGGAGGGGGGAGGGGAGGGGGAGGGAGAGAGAGTGTTCAGGAATACAAGGACTTTGAGGTTCACAGCACAATTTGGACTAAAAGACTGAACTATCACTGCTGCACATCTAAGTGAACGAAGACTGCTTTCAGTCCTTCATCCCACTGCACTATTTCTAAACAATCATAGAAAATAAAAGCCTTCATCTATATCCAGGAATATTTCCTGTGCTTACCTGGGGTCACTGGTGACTTTGCGGAGACTCATGTGGCTTGGTTCTAGTTGGGGTACCAAAGTTCCTGGTATGTGATACCCATTCACTGTAAAGAAAAGATACAGAAGGGGGGAAATGGGTTTACCATCTCTGAGGCTCTTCTTCAAAATTAAGTAATTTACCTGGCATACATGACCAAGTGTAAATGTATAATTCAAAATGTCACCACAAATACAGCAAGTCTACATGAAACACACTCTGCAGAAATACATAATATATCGATCGATCAATCTATGCAGAAATACATGCAAGCAGGCAGCAATTTTAGCAACTAGAACACATCAATTGCAAAGACATTATTGAGATAGATCAACTATTTATGTAAAAACACGAGCCTCTGTAAACTCTGCAGCAAGGTCAGGCAACTCCACTTTAAATGAAATATCTGATTATCTCAAGTAATTTATGCAATAAAATTCAGTATGTCTCTATATTTTTGAAAGTAAAACTGTCATCACGCTGTAGTTTGCATAGCCGCCAATAGGCAGTCATACCAACTACAGCATGATGACAGAACAACAGGCAGGTGAATGAACAAGCAAGCAGCATGGGTGGTGGCGAGTCAGGCGAGCAGATGAGGAAGGAGCAATGTTTAAAGGCGGGTAGAAGACCCTGCAGAAGGATGGCTTGGCAAACCATTCTCTGAGCCTTCTTCCCTGCCATTATACATCTCTGGAGTATTATAAAAGAACATGTAAAAACAAAAGCTCTGAGAGCCTTAACACAACATGAAATTTTATTAAGCACAATGGGTAGAGAGTGGAAAGGATGAATCTCTAAACTGTATTCTATATTGCATAATATAGCTTACGGATATATGGAACCCCTTTAAAAGATATGGGGATATTTAGCAGCACAAATAGAAAATGCACCTCAATGGTGAACAGCTCAAAATCTTACACTGGGCGCTTGGTACTGCTCACTCTGAAATATAGGTATACAGTAATGTAGAAAATCAGACATAATTTGAGATTTTGACAAGGACTAGAACCTCCAGACACTTTTTATATGATTTGGCATATAGAGCGGAACCGTCATTTTCAAGGCAGCCCTCGTCACAAGCCTGGGAAATCTGGAACTGCACTTTTATGATCTGATAAAAGTTGATAGTCTTTACTTGGGACTTTGTTATTTTAACTCATGTACAACCACTCACTCTATATGCCTATTTTATAGTTTCGTTTTTCATCATTTACTTTTTATCTGTTGTTATAATTGTTCTCTCTGTTTTATATACATTATAAAATGAAATAGAAATAAACTTTACCCCCCCCTCCAAATATCTGGAGTGACATTTAAAAGAGGGTGGGAGGTACTTCAGAGAGCGGTTTGGCAAATGGCTCTGTAAAGCACCCACCTCTCTGTTAAACATTTAACAAGCTGTGACAGAACGGGGGGGGGGGGGTGTTTGGGGCAAGCTGAGCAAAGGACTGGGTAAAATGTGGGGACAGGGAAAGAGGCTTAGTAAAGGGGATTGACCAAGGGCTAGCAAGCAGAGCAGGTGGGGACAGCATCCTCTAGTCTAGTACATTCATATTACTGTAAAGGTAAAGGGACCCCTGACAATTAAGTCCAGTCACAAACAAGTCTGGGGTTGCGGTGCTCACCTCACCTTAAAGGCTGAGGGAGCCGGCATTTGTCCGCTTCCACAGACAGTTTTTCCAGGTCATGTGGCCAGTATGACTAAGCCGCTTCTGGCGAAACCAGAGCAGCACATGGAAATGCCGTTTACCTTCCCGCTGGAGCGGTACCTATTTATTTACTTGCACTGGCATGCTTTCAAACTGCTAGGTTGGCAGAAGCAGGGACTGAGCAACGGGAGCTTACCCCGTTGCGGGGATTCAAGCCGCCGACCTGTAATTCATCAATTTTAGCTTATCAGGCTCCACCACCACCACATTTTGTAGGGGACTTTGGGTGTATTACCATTCTCTTACTCAGAAAGGATAGGATGCTGTGACACCATTTGTAAAAACAAAACCAGAATTGCATGGTAGAAAGAAACTAATGACTGATCTAGAAGCATCCCCTCGCCTTTCTCGTTGCTAAAATCTGCAGTTGGCTCTCAAAAATCAGCATCATAGACTTATATAAGCACATGGTTGATAGCCAGGAGAGATCGCACAGAAGTATAGAAAAAAACATGTCCTTCATGTGCCATAACTTGACCATGCACTACCCTCCAAGCACCACTT